GCCAGCCACTGGACCCAGGGCTCCTTTGGGACCTCCAGCCCCTGAGTTATTCCCTGGGGAAGCTTTTAAAGATTTTTATTTATTCATTCGACAGAGAGAGACACAACGATGGAGGAAACACAAGCAGGGGGAGTGGGAGAGGGAGAAGCAGGCTTCCCGAAGAGCAGAGAGCCTGATGTGGGGCTCAATCCCAGGACCCTGAGATCATGACCTGAGCCCCGCCAGGCGCCCCTAGTCTGGAAGCTTTTATGGCGAGCTTGGGGAACGGGGCAAGATACGGTGGTGCAGGTTTGTTTTCTGACACAGGCTGACACCACGGCTTTGCTACAAAGCTGAGAACAACGTGATTTCAGGGGGAAGCCAGTAAGACAGCCGAACAACCTGCCTTTACTTTTCAAAATGGAATATTAAGTACTGACGTTAGCTAGGGGGGATGAGCAGGGGAGATAGCTCCGGACAGTCTGGTCTGAAGGGTTCGGTAAGGAGACTGATCGTACTGTTCAGATCACGTAGGAAACAGCAAGAATGAGCCCCCATTATTTTATTAGGATCCGCTTCTTAGAAATGATTCCAACTTTAATTAAATGTCATCAGAGCAGATCCACTGCACTCTGTGACCTCAAGGAAGAAATGATCTTTTTTATTTTTTTTTTAATTTAAATTATTAACTTTTTTATTACTGTGTTTTTTCATTTTTGTTCCGGTGTAGTTCATACGTGGGGTCATATTAGTGTCAGATACACAATAGAGTGACTGAACATTCCTTTTTTTTTTTTTAAAGTTTGTATTTTAATTCAGGAAGGAATGATCATGAAGGCCGCTCTTCCCTGCAGGATATTTTAGGAGGAAGCAGCAGATGTGTAAAATCAAGACAAGGGTTTAAGGACCTGTCCTGTCTGTCCCATCTCAAGGACTGATCACACAGTTCTCACTCAGCTGCTCCCTAATTTTTTCAAGACTTGTTCCTTTTTGGTTCCCGTAACCAACCTCTTCATTCTGAGCAGGCCAGAGTCTAAAGATTTGCAAATGAGGAGGAGGCTCCTTTCCCCGCGCTAGGACCGCGCTGGGACTCCGGACTGCTTGCAGGATCCCATTTGCCCACGGTAGTAATTGGGAGAGTTGTTTGAATTCCCAGATCTGGCTCCGGAAACAAAAGCAAAAGGCACGAGGAATGAAGCCCATTGTCCAGACTGTGTGTGACAGAGGCCATGGGGGGACATGGGGGCGTTCTCTGTTGTGCTTGGTTTTTGTCTGCCAGGGTTCCCTCCTGGGAAGGTGTCCACCTGCAGGGCCCAGCCCCACACCCCCCTGCAGGGAGCCCTGGCAGAGCCCCACGCCCCGGGCCAGCAGGCGTGTTCACTCCTGAGTTCCCTTCTGAGATTCTGAAGCTACGCCGTTGTACCGGAGGGAAGTCGCTCGTCTTTTAGTTGAAATACAGCGGAGAGGAAGGTTTACTCTCCAGCCGGGCCCTTTATTAATTGTGTTCCCTTGGCTCTCTCTGTGTCTGCTCAGAGCCTGACTTCCTCATTGCCCCAGGGGGAGTCCGGACCCCACAGGCTCCCCAGAGCCGGAGCCGCTGTGAGCTGGAGCAGTCCCCCCACCCCCCACAGGACTAGCCCCAGCTGTGGGAGGAGCCGGCTGGCTCGACTCACCGCTTTAAATGAAAGCCTCCTGAGCCCGGGAGGTGGTTCTGAGGCCCGGCTGCTGCCTACCCTCCCGGGGATCTCGAGGAAGATGTCCAGCTCAGGCTCCTCTGTCCCTGCTCTGCCAGGGCCCAGGGGACACCCAGTGCAGCAGGTGACCAGCCCCTTCTCAGGTGAGTGCAGGTTCCCCCCAAGAGGCGAGCGTGGGAGCCAGGCGTGGGGGCTGGTGGGAAGGTGTGCGGACCTCCCATGACAGTTCTCCTGGGCATCCCCTCTGGATCAGGTGTACTTGCCACAGTTTCCTCCTGCCGTTGGTTACATTGTCTAGAACCCCCCATTTATCGTGCATTTATGAGATACCCCCTGGAGCTGTGTCTCCCTAGAGAAGGGCTGCTCAGGAGGGCGAGGGCCTGAAATCCCGTGTTAATCATGCTTGTCACCTGGCGATCGTCTTGGCATGGTTGCAGTATTGGGGGATTAATTTCCCCAGGACAGGGGCCGCATCACCAGGCCTAGAATCCTGTTGTCTGTGGGAAGGGACCACAAGCAGCTGTGTCTCTCCATCCGGCTCAGGTCTGCGCAGGGGCAGCACCACGGAGAGACCTGCACTTGGGCGCGCAGATGAGCTCATGCGCCACACCTGCGGCAATGCCCCGCCCCCTGCCCCACTCCAACGCTTGCACAGGTGCAGGGAGCTCTTCAGGGATAAGAGGGAGCTCGCTGGGAGGTCTCTCTGCAGGTTGAGGTTGAGGGACGGTGTCCAGCAGCTGGGACAGATGGCATGTGGTGGTGGTCCTGGGGGAGCTCTGGGTTGTGCTGTGTGACGCGCTATGAGGTTCAGGGGGTGCGGGGCTGGCAGGGAGGAGGAGTCTCCCCGGGGAGAATCTCTCCCTGCGGATGGGGTGATGCATGCAGGCCCCCTGGGTAGAATCCAGAGCAAGAGGTGGGCATATTTCTGCTTGTGGAGGCCGATGTGGTAGACCTCTGGAGAGCACAGAAGTGTCACAGTCCGGCTGGCGACAGGGCGAGGCAGCAGCGTGTCCCCACGTTTCCATGGGGGCTCCTGCAGGTGGCTCTGGGGATGGGCAAGGGGAAAGGACAGCGCAGCTTTTACTTTCTAAGATTTTATCTCTGGGGCGCCTGGTTGGCTCAGTCAGTCAAGCATCTGACTCGTGGATTGGGCTCAGGTGATGATCTCAGGACCCTGAGATCTACCTGGGGTAGGGCGGGGAGTCCGCTGGGGATTTTCTCTGTCCTGCTGCCCCTTCCCTCCATCACTCTTTGTAACATCTTAAAAAAAAATTGTTTCTAAGTAATCTGTACACCCAGCGTGGGGCTTAAACTCACAACCTGGAGATCTAGGGTCACAGGCTCCTTTGGCTGAGCCAGCCAGATGCCCCTGATTATTTTTAAAGACTTTATTTTTTGAAGCAGTTTTGTTTCATAGCAAGATTGAGTGGAAGGTGCAGAGTGTGCTGCTGCCTACCTCCCCACCTTGCGGCCCTGTGTTACCGGTAGCCCTTGAATTTGCCCTGATTCCCCATCCTCCCCCAAAGCCAGTGGTTTCCACCAGAGCTGCTGCTGGTGGTGTGTGTCCTGTGGGTTTGCACAGATGTGGGATGACCCACACCACTCGCGTGGCATCCGAGAGAATAGCATCCCTGCCTCCCCTGTCCCCCCAGCCCCTGGAAGCGCTGATCTTTGCGCTGTCTCCGTGGTTTTGCCTTTTCCAAAATCTGTTTTGTTTTTGTTTTTGTTTTAAACATGAAGAATGTATTTATAAATTGCTTGTATAATTGCTAACCAAAGAGAAAAACCTGTTTCAAGTCCTTCTGGCCATGGTGTGGATCATGTTAGAGGGACGCGGCAGGACTTGGGGCAAATGTCGGGACCAATGTTAGGTTTACGGGCAGTGGCTATGGAGGAGGGCGTGCGTCCGGGGTGTGAGCAACAGGGAACCGCGCCTGTGGCAGGAGGAGGAGGAGGGGGGGGCGTGCGGGGAGGGAACAGAAGTTGATTGCTTCTTGATCTATGGAGTTTGTGGGTCTGGAGGGACGAAGACCCGTTGATCACTAGTTCGTTCAAGTTCTTCATGTCCTAGGCCTGGTTTGGATATGAAGTCGTGAGACTCGGGGTACACACACACGTCCACGTCCGTCTAGATCTTAAGCCAACAGCCGTATTCTTGCATCACGAAGGTCAGGCTTACCGTCCCGTGTGCACGGGTGGAGTCTCCGTGTCTGTTACGCCCCTGGGAGCCACAGTGCCTTCGTTGGCTGTGACTGGGAGTGGCTTTACTTCATGGGTCTTGCTTTCCAGCGTCTTCAGACCTGATGTTGGTTTCTGAACCGTAAACTCGCAGAGAAGGCTGACTGGGGCCGTTGGGCGGGTGTGCGCGGGGAGTCTGGCTGGGAGTCTGGGCGCTGAGTGCTGGAGGCCTGGGACTGTGTCCTCCCTGAGTCCCCGGCCCCACCCCTGTCCTCCCGGGCCCAACTCTTAGCCACGGTGAGGACACAGGGTTCTGCAGGGGTGAAATCCAGACCCGTTCACCTAGGTCTTGACAGTGGTTGCACAGCCCAGATGAGCTGGTCAGAAATGGGGCTCCCAGGGAGAGCGAGCAGGAGAGCAGCAGACACATGAGGCCACGGCGCACAGGTGCTTTTAGGGGCGCCTGGGTGGCTCAGTTGGTGCATCCCTCCTGGGATGGAGCCCTGGGATCGAGCTGAGCGGGGAGCCTACTTCTCCCTCTGCCCTTCACCCCATTCATGCTCTCTCTTGCATTCTCTCTCTCAAATAAATAAATCTTTTTTTAAAAAAGCCACTTTTAATAAGTAACAGCCCCTGGGAAAGTGTGGAAAATGTCCTAGATTTATCTTGAGTAGGTATTATTTATAATATATTGGTTTAATTTTTCTTTTAATAAAATAGCAGGACTTAATTGAATTTAAGGCCGTTGACTAAAAAATTGTTTTACCCGAGGGGCTGCTCCTGAAATCAGATATCTCTCTTTAATCTTCTCAGATCACCGGGATTGTCCCTTTTCCATATAGGTTTGAGTTGGGCTGACTGCATGTAACCCCCCAGCCCCTGTGGTGTTTGGGGAACGGGCGGTGCTGCCCACAGCCCCCTGCGAGTGGGCGTCCCATGCCTGCCTGCTGTGACTCTGAGGTGCCCCCGCTCTTTCACGATGACGCATTCTGGGCTGACATTGACCCCCGAGGGATGCGCCAGGCCCGTGGTCCGAGTGAGGAACCTGCTGCAGTTTTCGCGGTTCACGCCTGGTCCCAGCGGGTCCAGTGGCCCAGCCAGACTCGCCCCCGCCTGGTCACTGACTCCTGTCCCTGATTCCTTCCGCAGGTATGAATGCCGCTGTCCGAGCCGTGGTGCGCATGGGAATTTACGTGGGGGCCAAAGTGTACTTTATCTATGAGGTCAGTGTTGCGTCTCCCTCCCGGTTTCTCTGACTCTGGGATCTGAGCCTTGCGCCTGCCCGGGTGCTGCTGACCTGGACGGGCACGCTCAGGCCGGGCCAGGCCAGGGCCCCGGGGGCTGGGGGTCCTGTGGGGGCACGGGGAGGAGGTGGTGCTCCCTGGTCAAGAGCTGGCAGGGAGGGCGTGGGGAGGGGAGAGCCCACAGGGCACACAGTGGTCTCCTGGGATTAATGTGTGTATTTGTGGTCCTCCTTCCCTAAAGAAGTAATAGTCACTGAATGTGGGGGTGAATTTGAGCAAGCGTCGAGGTAAGCAGGAGGGAGCGGCCGCTTGGAGCTTCTCGTCATTTCTGTAGAACCCAGGCCACCTCCCAAACAGCCATTCACGTGTTCACTTGGAAACCGAGTGCCTGACACAGGACAGCAGGCCCGGCCTGTTCTCTCCTGGGGTCCTGAGCGCGGAGAAGTGGGCGAGGTGGGGAAGGAAGGCCCCAGTGTAGTTTGGACCCTGCTGGTTATTCCAGGAACTATCAGAAAAAAAATAATGTATATTTACTTTTTAAATTTATGAGATCTGAGAAAGCTGAAAACACAGAAGAGCACGTGTTTTTTAAATGACTTGATTCCTGCGAAACCACCATTAGGATTTCGTATTCCGATTCTTCCCAGCATGACATGTGAAAGTCTGGACAAGGGTCTGGACACCATTAAAACCTTGGCAGATACACCTTGTGTATGTGCTTTGTGCCCCCGTTGTGCCCATTTTCTGTAGTGTCGTGCACGACAACTTCAGTGTCTGTCATAGTCCCCGTGGGGGACATGTGCCATTCCCAAGCGGCTGAACTGTGCTTTCCAGCTGTGCGGGCGGGAGACCTATGCAGTGTCTGGGATTACTCTGCTCCCCAGACGTCCCTCGTGACAGGTCTTGGTGCGTTTGACTGCAGTTGTTTCTGACCCTGGTTCCAGTGCCCCTCTCCCCCTCACCCCTGCACGTCCCGGCTGGCCTCCGAAGTGGTGGCACTGACCGCCTGTCCTGTGTGCAGCCCTGACCCAACCCCCCAGTCCCCAGCCCGGGAGCTGGCCTGGGTTCCAGTGCAGGCTGTCCCCGTCCTTTTCTCCTTCTGGAAAGTGGCTGTTCTAAGCCTGTGCCTGCTGGGCCACATGAGGGTGTGTTATTTGCTGGAAAGAGGGTTTTTTGGGGGGTTTTGTTTTTGTTTTTTTTCCCTGCGCTTTGGTGTGCTTTTCTGAGCTGTGGTTCTGTGAGTTTGGGGTTTGTATTTATCGGGTTTCGGTGAGGTTAACACGGTGGGCCCCACCACAGCTCTCCCAGGCTGTTGTTGGGTTTCTCTCTGGGGTCCAGCCAGCGGCAGGGCTAGGATCCGCCCCCCAGGGCGGACGGTTCTGAGTGTCCCACTATCAGGGTGAGAGCCGTGCTCCTGGCATCTCGCGAGAGGAGACCTGGATGCAGGTGGGAACCCCGTGACGCCCAGCACAGCTCCCACAACAAGGAATTCGTATTCTGGTCCCAGGGCCCATGGTGCCGAGGCCAGGAGGCCCACGTTGAGCCAAGGGCAGGCAGGTCGTATCCTCAGGGTGAGTGTCGTGGGGAGCAGGGGCCGGGCCCGTGCGGGTGCCCGTGCTGACTCTCTGGGTGTGGAAGCTGACCTGGGAACGGTGGATGTTAATCCTTCAGACTTAAGACCTCCCATTCGTTCTGTTGGCTCTGTATCCGGGGGGTTTAGATGGGATATTTAGTGGGAGCTCTCCTGCCAGACCGCCTACGCTCCCTGATGAGGGGCTGGGCTGGAGCACCACGGTACGCCCACATGTAGCAACACTGGGGCTGCCTTAGGAGAAGAGCATCTTGGATTTCCTTTGGAAGAACCTTGACCTAGGGAACCAGATGCGTCCATCCTGTTGTCTGCTGGGAGAGGTGGACAATGTGGCCTCTTTGTTCCTGACCACTTTTTTTTTTTTTTTTAAGATTTTTTAATTTATTTGACAGAGAGAGAGAGAGGGCAAAAGCAGGGGGAGCACCAGAGATTGAGGGAGAAGCAGACTCCCTGCAGAACAGGGAGCCCAATGCAGGACTCGATCCCAGAACCCCGAGGTCATGACCTGAGCCGAGGGCAGAGGCTTCACCTGCTGAACCCCCCAGCACCCCCTTCCTGCCCACTGCAGGGGCTGTGTCCTTTGCCCCCTCTCTGGAGGGGGGAATGGGCAGGGCTCCCGCCCGCTGGGGTGGGCAGCGAGGAGTCCCGAGTCTGAACGGATCCCATTTCTTCCAGGGAAGTGAGGGGATTTGTGCAGCTTCTCCTGTCAGGAAAAGCCAGACAGAATCTGGGCGTACGGTACTGAGTGTCAGGGCCAGGGTATGTTCGTAGTAACTGGTTTCCTGGCAGTCAGGGCCTTGGATGGAGGATAGAGGGTGTGTGGGGAGAAGAGCAGACGGCAGGGTCTGTGGCTTGGCACCAGGGACCGTCCGCCTGTGAGTCCGGAGAGGGGAGCAGATGGGAGCGGCCTGGAGCTGGACTCACTGGGGCTGAAGTCATCGGTCTGGAGAACAAACCGTGCTTCTCGTGACACCCCTCCCTGCCGCACCTCGCCCCCCCCAAAAAAACAGAAATTGTAGGGAACCAGGCCTGTTGTTTACAGCTGCATGGGGGGTGGTCCTCAGCCCCGCCTTGGACCCTCGGGCTTTGCCCTAGGATACAGTTTGGGGTGAACCCACGGTTGCAGTAACATCAGCTCTTCGTGACAGATCTCCGTGGCCCTGTCTCTGGAGGCCCAGCCTCTCTAGAATCTGCCAGTTTTTCCTAACGCATCCACGCCCTCCTAGTGTGACCATCCCTAAGACGGGGCCGGGGTTCACCGGCCAGGACCACCCCCTGACAGAAACGTCTCCGGACATCGGCACTTGTCCCCAGAGGTGGGAGGCAGGGCAGCTAACTCATCCCTGCCAAGGGCGCCCGTCCCAGACCTGTTTGGGCGCAAACTGAGATGTCAGTTTCCGTGTGTTGGACCTCGTCAGCACTCGGTTCCACACATGTGCTCACTTGTGGTCCAGTTTCTTAAGTTTGCCTAGAGCTTCAAGGTTGCCGGCTCACCTAAACAGTGAAACAGGTTCGTGTTATGTAAACAAAGGCTTTTGGGCTTTTTCCTTAGCAGTTTGTGGGAGGGGTGCTGATGGGAGAGCGCTGGTCTTCCTGCCAAGGGCCTGGCACCGGCTTTGTGCTGTCTGGTTGCCGCTGGGGAAGGCTGGCAGCCTGGGCCCGGTCTACGTGTGCTGCATGCCGGGCCCCAGGGCGACATCTGGGGAGGCTGGGGCGGGCAGGGATTAACCCGTTCTTGCCACCACAGAGCCCGTTGCTTTTTTTTCCACTTAGGCTAGGGCTTTTCCTTAGAGACCTACAGGTGGTTTTAGCTGCTGGGGATGCTGATGGCAAGGCCATCCCATGGTTTTGCAAGACCGAGCTCAGGAGACCGCCCTGGCTTTTGTTGGAGCAGGGGAGGAGATCTGTTCTCTGTTCCTGTGATCTTGGTTGCAGAGCTAGGCTAGTCCTATTTCATGCAATCTGCGGGCTCAAAATCCTGTTAGCTGAAGGCTTTTCTACAGATTGAGAAAAATTACAGCTCTTTAAATAGGACCCACTTAAAACGTCTTTCCTCTTTGAAACATCACTTCCCCGTTGGGCCTGCTCATGCCGACGTGAAAATGTCCACGGGGCCCGTCTTCCCATCTTCTGAGCCTCAAAGAAAGGCTGGACTGACGCCCATCACGTTGAGCAGCCGATGGTCTTAGAAATGAGCTTCTCCGTGCGTGCTGGCCTAGAACTTTCCTGCTGGGAGAGCCTCAGAGCAGGTCAGAGCTCTGTTCTGGCCGTGCCGGCTTCCTGCTGCAGGTGGACAGTCAGTCCCGGCCCAAAGGCCCCGAGAGGCTTTATCTCTGGACCCCGGCCTCCCACAGAGCTCAGTGGGCTGGGGCCCTGGGCATCAGGCCTGACTTAATAATCAGATAAACCAGCTTCCATGTGTCTGCTAATAGATTAATGTCATTTTCCCCTTCCGAACAGAAACCCTCTGCTTGCCGTGGGGCACATGACTTCTCGGATCTGTTGAGTTGCTGCTTCCACAATTTTGAAAGTCGGAAGTGGCATGCTTGGGGCAGAACCACAAAGACAACCCAAACCCCACCTTTCCCAGCAGACGCCGGGCAGGTCTTCTCGCAGACACGGTGGTTCCCCTCCTGGCTTGATGTCCCGTCAGGGTCAGGCTCTGGCTCTGGGCTTCCCTGTGTGTCCTGTGGGGTGGCCGCTGTCGGAGCCGCTGGGCGGTGACACCCCGCGATGGGAGGAGAGCGGGCCCGGATGCGGGGGTGGCGTTTGGGGGACTGGTTTGCGATGGCTGCTCTGACCCATCCTGCCTCTGCCTCCCCCTTCCCACAAGTGCCGGAAGGCCAGGCACGGTGGCCAGAACCATGCTGTCCTGTCTGCCGGAGGTTTCCCACAGAACTGTTTCTGCATCTTCACTTCCTTAAAGTTAGAGCTGCTTCACCACAAAACATCCGTCTGAAAATAGTAATAGGATGTCTGAACGTGCAGTGAAACGGATTGGTCTGCAGGTGACTGGGAGGTGTAGACCACCGAGCTGAAGCGGGCGTGGCCCACTGGTAGCAGGCAGCATGAGAGCGGGATGAATCACCAAGGCCCTGTGGCCAGTGCCCAGCTGGACAGTGGAACGCAGCCGAGCTCGCCCTGAGCCTCATATCTGAGAGCCAGCTCTGCCTGGTCCTGCTGCCGTCCCCGTGGCTCTTCGCAGTCTCGTCCTAGTTACCCTTCCAGTGTTTTAATCACAAAAGGATGGTCTCCTTTGCTGACTGTGCACCCCTGCGTTATCACCGTGCGGCTGGGTGAGGGGCTGGCTGAGAGGTGGTGGGCTCTCCCTTCTGGAGGATATGCACCTGCTGTGTCCTGCAGCGGCCTCTGGTTTATAACGTACCTGGAACCGGGGATTAGCAGCTTTGGTGTAAAGCAATCTGATAATACCGGACGGCTAAATCAGTCCCACTGGTCTCCATTGTCAGGTTTCCACAAGCACAAAGTGCAATGGCCTCGTGTGTTCTGACCTATTTTAGAAGGTCAGAGTTTGGCCACCTCTCGCCAGGGACCCATGCAAAGGCAAGCCTGCAGGCATCATCCTTGAAGTCATGGGCTCCTTGAGCAGGGGTCCCGAGGCCAGGGCATCCGTGCCCTAGAGAGTCCTGGTGGGGGCTGAGCCATGGCTGGGGGTGGGTGCGAGAAGGACTGCGTGATCTGGGGGTCTGCGGTGAGCTTCCTGGTGCAGAAAAGAGTTGTGATTCCTGAACTTGGAAAACCATTGCCCACGCAGAGGACCTTGCTGCCTCTCTTGTGTCCAGCTTGTCTTGCACGATGGCATTTCCCAGCTCCAACACGTGAGCGGTTCAGAGCTGACCTCTCCATGGGCTTGCTCTCAAGTGCTGTAAGTGAAATGCTTTAATTTATTAAGGAATAAGCCAGAAAGACAAAAATTTGTATTTACTCGAGGCATTGAAGCCTGGAGAGAAGTCTGTGGTGTTGGTCACTGCGGTATCTAGACAATACTTTAGAAGGACGTGATCTTTGTAGATTGTCTCCACTGGGAGAGGAGTGTTTGCTGCCCAAATAGTGAGTTGTTGACTGAGTAATCCAGGAAATCAGATGTAGAAAAGCCATGTTCAGCTTGAGAAGGCCGGTGCACTCACCCAGCATCCGTGTTCAAGGGGAAAAGCCTAGTTGGCCAGAGAGCATGGGACTGTGATTTCCCTCTGTGTCTTGATCCAGAAACCCTACGTAGTGCGAGGTCTCTTACAAGAGAGAGCCACCTGCCATGGGCTAGCACAGACTCTTCTGAGCAGATCAAACAGGTTCTCCAAAACGCAGCGCCGTCGCCAGAGGAGCAAATGGGGGGCCTACGCTGACGTCCCCATTGCTTAGAAACATTTCAAACAAGAAGTTGAGCTGATTTCGGAATCTGTGGCTCCTTCTCAGACATCACCCAAAGGACAGCGCACTTGATGGTCTCCTGGGCTCACCGTGTGAACGGGGATCAGCCAGGTGGGCCGGGTTACTGTGGGTTAAAAACCGAGTGTGGCTTGGAGGCGTTTGCTGTGGTTTGATTCCTGCGTGAGTCATGGAACTGGTTCTGAAGGCAGATTCCAAGGAGAATTTTAAAGAGAAGATTTGGGGCGCTGGCTGTGTTGGCGGCAAGTACTCAAGCCTCCAGAGAGACTCCACAGGAAAACACGCATCTGAATTTATAAATTACGGTACGTTTGTGTAAAATCAGTCGTCTTAATTTAGTAACCACTTCCTTGTAAGTGGAGGGCCCTTCAGTTGCCGTTGGGAGGCCTTTTCGACGCTTGCAGGAGCTCCTGAGTCTTCGAGGGAGGGTGAGTCACTTCCTGCCCCGCCCAGGCGTGCGGTCAGGAGCAGGGTGGGTGCACGAATCTCCAAAATCCCTTTATCCTCCCTGTCCCAGGGTCCCTGTGCCACACGACCTCAAGGATTCTCCGAGAAAGTTCTGTGTTTCAGAACACACCTTACGATTTACAGAACAATTTTCCACGTTCCTGCCCCAGCAGCAAAGGGGTCTGTGAATGTTTTCATGAAGTCACTGTACAAACGCAGAGCAATGATCGTAAAGGCAAAGGGGACTTTTGTGCTCCCGGCTTGGCACCTGTGGGGCAGAAGCCGGGCACAGGGCTTGTCCATGGAGCATGAGCTGCTGGAATCCTCCATGGGCTGGTGCTGACAGCCACGTGCAGCAGAGATGGCCCCCGATGAGCTGGGGATGGCCCCCGGCCTCTGTGTCCTTGTCAGCCCTGTGGGGTCTGGGGCGGCCCCGTCCCCTGGGTTGCTTTGTTGGCCTCGCGGTGCATTGCAGAAATCGTCCCTCTGGCTGTGGGTGTTGAGTGGGCATGGGGAGGGTGTCCCCATCCTGTTTTTGTCAAAGCCTGTGGGTAGGGCAGTTCTCTGCCCTGCCCTGCTCGGGACAGCCTGCTCTACACCTGCCCTTCCGGCCTCATGAGTACTGGTTTCTCTCGTCCTCAGGCCCACGCAGGCTGGGGTGGTAGGACATCATGCCTCCACATAGGGCCGTGTCCCCGCGGTGGCCGAGGCTCTGGAAGCGGCAGCCGGCCTGCAGGCCCGCTCCGGGGGTGGGGGTGCCACCGCCCGCCAGGCCTCCTGGAAGTGAGCTCACAGTCTGCACCGCTGCTGGCTATTGAGTGCTGGGCTGGAATCTGAGGCCTGCGGAGCTGGGCGTGCGTGCAGAGTGACGGGGGAGCCCGGGAGTTTGCCGGGCTCAGTGGAAGGCACCCCTGAGTCAGGGCCCTCCCTTGTGTGTCCTCTGTCTTGCTGCCATCCAGCTATCACCTGGCTCTCTCCCTGTTGTTAACATTCTGCTGAAGATCCCTGGGAGTCCCTCAGAAGCAGGGAGGGCTGGCTTTTGTAACCTCTGCTGGGGGAGCTCACACACAGGGCCGGGTGTAGACAGCGCCTCTTAAGAGCTCCCTTTATAGAGACCGGGCCTGGATCAAAGCCTCTTCTGCTTATCACGCTCACCCTCCACAGTGACAGGTGCCGCGGCTCGCTACCTTATATGGAGTGAGCTGAAAAGGCACGATACACGCCCTGTGAGTTTTAGGGAGCTGTGTTTACAAGATGTGCATCACTGTCCCGTGACGACAGTGGGCCTGTTCTGGGGACTGTGAGGGGCCAGAGTCCCAGGGTAACATCCTCCATCCGGGGGCAGAGGGAGGCTGCCAGCTCCCAACGGGCACTTGCTCTTGGCTTCTCTACTTCGTTCAGGCCACGTTGTCCCTTAGGTGTTTGTCGTACGTGACAACTGTGTGACTGTGACACTCACAGGTTTACGTGTACTTATGTATACGTATACTATGTAGTATAAAATACTACACGACTCTGATGTATTCTGTTATATACAATTTGTTCTCTGTATGATATATAAAATACATATTTGTATCAGTATATTAGAAACCTATAAACATATAATTACATGTTATATACAATGTATATCTATGTTAGCATATTAAATGTATACACATACAGACCCAGGTGTGTGTTGGTAGCCTAGTGTTCTGTGTGTGATAAATAGAGAGGAGAGTGGCATGGAATGAAAGAGAACAGAGCGAAGTTGAGAGCAGGTTCGTTCTGTATAATTTATGACAGTATATGTAAATGTATTCTCTCCGTATAATGTAGAAATCTATAATACCATGTTTCATGATATAAAGATAGTCTAGTCATACATTATATGTATTGTATACAATAGGTTAATATGTGTTACATGTTACTAAGATGTAACATACTAACCCCGTGTCTTACAGAAGATGGTAGCACATTTTTGGCGGAAAGTGTCCGTTGTAAGCACAGGTGCGTCCTGATGGTCTGTAAAGGCCCCTGCCCTGTTGGTTAACTTGCAGACTTGGTTCTCTACTCAGTGGACCATTCCATTTTGAGCAATCCTTACTTTTTCCATTCCTCTTGATGTTCACTGGTTTAGGAGCTCTGAATCCCCCGTAAGGATCTGTGGTGATAAACTTTGTAAATGGTCAGTGTCCGTTCCTTTGTAAGTTTAAGTGTCCTGGAGAGAGTCACGCAGGTAAGGACACACATGGGTGTTTCCGGATGCCTTGATCTTTTGTGGTGTTGGGGGGAAAGCGAGATGGAGTTGGAAGGTCATGGTCCTTGGGCTTCCGGCCGAAAGTGAGCGCTCCCATCCCATGTACTCACCAGCCCTCGGGGTGGTCAGCTGCTGCTGACCGCAGGGTAGGGCCCATGCATGTCTGCGGTGCTTTTCAGAAACACGGTGTGTCTATGCAGCGTAGCACGGGTCACACGGGCAAACTGAGGCCCCGGCGGGAGTGCTCCCTTGTACGCCGTGTGATGGACACCACTGTTTGCATGGGAGTTTGCTAGATTACACACGGTTTGGGGGTAAGCATCTCCCCTTTCAGGCTCTCCGGCACTGTTAGGTGATAAACTGTCTTCTTCCCCATAGCGCTCCTGGTGAGCCCGGCAAGAAGTGCCCATTCACGGAAGGCTTATAGTGAGCACTCGCCTCGGGCTGCTCCCAACCCCTCGGCTCTTCGGGGCTCACGGTCCTCGTCCTTTGCATTTTACAGAATTCACACATCCATCTAAGGTCTCACTAGAGTTTAGCCTAGTCTTAACGAGGATCTCTGTTCCCTTCCCCCAGGGTTACCAAGGCATGGTCGATGGCGGCAGAAACATCGTGGAAGCCAACTGGGAGAGCGTCTCCAGCATTCTGCAAGTGGTACGTGCTGACTTCCAAAACTCTGTTTCTCTAAAGTAAGTCAAGTCCCTCCTTTATTCGGAAATCTTCTGCACATAAGCTCCAGCAATGCTTAACGCGGATTAATGTCCTGGCTGGCGTTATTCTCACCTACTTACATAGTAACAAAACAAAACAAAACCAGCCTTAATTTGTCATGTAATTAACATTTTTAGAAAGCTTTACATCGTGCAAACAGGATTATTCTTGCAGTAAAAAGTTATGTTGTAACCGCTAGTGTTCCCTGTGGTCCTTGTAGTGGATTTCAGGTTTTGTCTTCTTAAGACCAGATTAATATTGAGGCTTCTTGGGTTTGTTGGTGCTGTGCTCAGGGCACAGAGCCCCGCCTGTTGGATTTTTGAGAGTCACTTTGTGTCCCTGTAGCAAAGGCTGGGAATGGTCCCTCCAGGATGGCAGGATGTAGTGGGAAGCAGCCTCCCTGTTCTGGCCTGAACCAGTCCCGGCTAATTGCTCTGGTGTGCCCAGGAATGAGGCAAGGACGGCTTCAGGCAAAACAATTGCTTACTTTGAATTTGAAAGAAACCTGCCAGGATGTTTCCTGCCTATAAATTCCACAAGCCCGGTAGCTAAGGGAGGCCTCCCAGTCCGGGGAGAGGCGGATTAGGTGAGAAGAATGGACGTGCTGAAAAGCTCTGTGTTAATCTGGAACTCACGTGGGGTATTTTTTAACTAGAAACCAGAATCAGTTCGGTCCCACTGAACGTCTCAGTGCGATGGAAGAATGGGTCCAGTAAACACGGCTTAGAGATATAAAGGGGACATGTGCAGCCCGACAAGGAGAGGGAATCCTGCAGGCTGGGGCAGCGAGGGTGGGCACAGGGCGAGACAAGGAGGACGCAGACAGACAGATACCGGTGGTCTCACTCACACGTGGGATCTGAAAAAGCTGAATTCCCGGAAACAGAAAAACGGTGTTTGCCAGGGGGCTGGGGGAGGGGAAACGGAGACTGCAGTCACAGGGCACAAGCTTCCCTGCTGATGGCGAGTGAGTTCTAGATGCAACCTCTGGCCGGGTGAGGGTGGTTAAGGACACCGCGTTGCCCCCTCAAAAGCCGCCCGGAGAGTAAGTCTTTATTCTTCACACACACACTCGCAGGTGGCTGAGGTGAGGGATGAGTTAAGGAACTTGAGACGGGGATCATTTCCCATAAATCCTCGTGTTAACAGGGTTATCTGTGCTGCCTAATAATTGTAATGTTGAAAGTTGCTCGAACAGTCGGTGTTGAAAATGCTAAGACAAAACAGGCTGATGATGGGAGCAGCCACATATCTCCACGCGCCTTAGCACGGTGATCACGTCACCCCGTGCGTGTGAATCACGGTGCCCCAAGCGCACGCGACCTTCTCGGCCCCTTAAATCTCGGTCGCCCCGTGGGGAGACGAGGGCGGGTGGGATGTGGTTGCCCCGGGGAGACGGGGTGTGCAGGTGCCCCTGGATGTGTGGGGGTTAGGGAAGGGCGCCTTCTTTACTTTCCTCAGTTGTAGCCTCGCACTGGGGGTCCCACGCCTGTGATCCCTTCGGTGTGGACCGGCTGGCTGCCAATTTCGCTTCCGGTTGCAAGAAGGCACATGACGCCCCGATCCCTCTGGGTGGAAGCAGAGTCCGGGGAACCAGCCGGTTGTGGCCGTGTATCCTGCGCCTTCCGCCTGGGCTCCCCTGTGCTGTACCAGGCCACAGCACCGTCGCCACCACACTCCTAGTCCTTAGCACAGGCTCCCTTCCCTGGAGGGCCGCTCGCCTTGCAGAGTGAGCATGCCCTTGGAGGGCGGCCCACATGGCGGGGGGTTTCAGAAGCGCACGTGTGGTGCGTGGGAAGGAGCCCTGCTTTTTCCTAAAGACAACTAAGAATCTTGTTTCTGAAAAACCGAATGTGAAAGTCACGACTTCTCGCTCTCAGAAGTTTGTCTGATCCAGCTTGCGTTCTCTTAAGATTTAGCCTTTAACAAGGAAGGGGCAGGGAGATGTGCAGAAGTCAGCCCCTCTGCCTCGTGGCTTCCTGTCTTGCCTTTCCACACGGTGAGCTCTGATGGAACAGGGGACTTGTTCCGGGGGCTCCTGGACACGCCTTCTGTGACTGCAGCTGCTGGCCGGTGCCAGGTCCATCTGAGGCTCGGTGGGGGTGGGGGCCGGCACCCCGTGCTGTACCACTCCGCCGTAGGCCTCCTGGATGGCTGGGTCATCCTGCAGACTCTTATCCTCTGCGTGTTTACCTGATGGCCGTCCTTATCTCCAGACCCTCCCCGGCTTGCCCTGGGCTTGACGCCGGTGCCTTTGTCCATTGTCCCCATGCTTGACCAGCTTACAGATTAAACGAGGGGAACCTCGATTTGCAAGTCCTATGTGTATACAGTGGTATTCACATGTGCTGAGCTCTGCCGCTTCCTCTCCTGGGGGAAGAAGAAAAATACATGTGATTTTCTTTCTTTTCCAGGGAGGGACCATCATCGGCAGTGCTCGTTGCAAAGCCTTCCGCACGCGGGAAGGTCGCCTGAAGGCTGCTCAGAACTTGGTTCAGCGGGGCATTACCAACCTGTGTGTCATTGGCGGGGACGGGAGTCTCACAGGGGCCAATATCTTCCGGAAAGAGTGGAGTGGGCTGCTGGAGGAGTTGGCTCAAAATGGTACATCCCTGCCTCTGTGTGTTGCCCTTGTGGGTTTTCTGTTCCCTCTGTTCCTCTTCTGTTCCCTTCAGAGAGCTCTGAGCCCCCATGCCCGCTGTCTGACTGTGGAGAGGCATCAGTGGTGATAGTGTCGGTCTCCTGGTCCCCCAGGCTGGGCACTCAACCTTATGCCTCCGAAAACGATGAGCTCTGTGTACCTGGTCCTGCCCCGTGCCGGGCACCGCCCACCCCTGGCACAGTTTCGGGTAGCGCCCGTGACGGCCATTGGACATAGGTTTCCTGTGTGTCCCCACTTGGCAGAGGAGAACTGGGGGGCGGAGGGAAGAGTGAGCTGGGCTGCCCTTCACCCACCACTCTCCTCCTCCTGCTCCGCGGGGGCTCCTGAACGTCCACTTGTGGCATCTCCTGGTAATGGCCGATGCTCGTTTCCGCGCAGGTGAGATCGACAAGGAGCAGGTGCAGAAGCACGCGTACCTCAACGTCGTGGGCATGGTGGGCTCCATCGACAATGACTTCTGCGGGACCGATATGACTATTGGCACTGACTCTGCCTTGCATAGGATAATCGAGGTCGTGGACGCCATCATGACCACCGCCCAGAGGTTACAGGGCCATGGGAGCCTGGGAGGGGCTGGTGGGTTAGATGTGGTTTAGATGCCCTGGATGTTTCCTTTGTAAGGGTGTTCTGTGCTGGGTGTAGACGTCTGTGCTGGCCCTGAAAGTCTCCCCTGACAGGTGTTCTGTGCTATGGTGTAGACCCTGGAGGGTTCCCTCATAAGGGTGTTCTGTGCTGCAGTGTAGACATCTGTGTAGGCCCTGGAGGGTTCCCTCATAGGGGTGTTCTTTGCTGTGGTGTAGACATCCATCTGCTCTGGAGGGTTCCCTCATGGGGGTGTTCTGTGCTGAGGTGTAGATGTCCGTGCCGGCTCTGGAGGATTCCCTCTGGGGGTGTTCTGTGCTGTGATGTAGACGTCCGTGCTGGCCCTGGAGGGTTCCCTCATGGGTGTGTTCTGTGCTGCGGTGTAGATGTCCGTCCGCCCTGGAGGGTTCCCCAGACGGGTGTTTGATCCAGTCTTGTTACTGAATATTAGAACCAGAGCGAGAAAACTGTTTCCCATTGACTGTTTATTTTCAACTGTGGAAGTTTACTCCTACCCCTGATTTTAGAAGAAAAAAGTGTTTCCTGGAGGGAAGACAGACTAATGCTACTGGGAAGTCCCATGCAGGGCCTCCAGCAGGAGCAGCAGGACTGGACATGCCCCATGTCCTCTGGCTCCGTGGGTGGGTGAGGGCCCTGTGGGCAACGGGAGAGCCGGAGGTTGTGCTCCCGGCTCTGGAGGGTCCCAGCCCCGGGGGGTCTCCCAGCCCCGCCTGTGCAGAGCACTGCAGCCGGTCACCGGCACAGAGGTGTCCGGGAATGTGCGTGTGTGCGGGAGAGCAAACACTGGCTGTGAAGTGAGTAACCCCAAGCCCCTTTGCTCACAAGAGCTCGAAATGCTAGCACAGTGGCATCTGCTTTTGTAGGAAATGGGCGCTTTTTGGAAGCATAGGTGTTGCCGTCATGGCAGAGAGGGCTTCTGTCCAACCTGGGAGCACTTTCCTCTTTGCTTTTCTCGCTGCTCCCCGTGGTGGTCAGTGGATGTTTCCTTTGTCTTTTCCAGCCACCAGAGGACCTTCGTTCTCGAGGTTATGGGGAGACACTGCGGGTACGTATGGGGAGATGCAGCTTGGACGGCGAGCACCCTCCACTTGGCCCCCTCGATGCCCCCCGGTGGCCCGCCGTCCCCCTTGCACGCTTGTGCGCCGGCTGCCTGCCCAGGGCTGCCTCCGAGCTGAGCGTGCCCGGCCGCAGCCTCAAAACCAGCGCTGTCTCTGGGCAGGTACCTCGCCCTGGTGAGCGCCCTGGCCTGTGGAGCGGACTGGGTGTTCCTTCCGGAGTCGCCCCCAGAAGAGGGCTGGCAGGAGGACATGTGCATCAAACTCTCCGAGGTAACCTGTGTTCCGTGTCCCCTGACCGCCAGGGTCTCTGACGGCGATGGGCGGCAGCCTCGGGGCCCCCGTTTGGGCGGAGTCACAAACACGTGGAAACTCCGTGGTTCTCAACAGAATTCGAGCTTGTCACGCAGGGTCTGCGTACACTGGCTGTTCGCGTGTCTGGCTGCCCCCCGGGGTCGTGAAGGGGTGCCGTAGAGAGACCCCCAAACTGTTTTTCCTGCAGAGCAGCAGCTGGAGTTTGAGGGAAGGTCTTGAGTAGAGATGAAGCTGTTAGGAGAAACCAGAGTCGGGGGGGGAACTCTGCCTCCTCTTCTGTCTCCACGCACCAGTGTGAACAGAGCCATGTCTCAACCCCGGACGCAGCGGCACAGAGCAGCATGGGGCAGGTCACAGCCCTTCCTGGGCTGTGCAGTCCCCGTCTCGCCCCCGCCCCGCGCCGGGTGTGCCTCAGGCATGGTTGCAGATGGGGTTCCTTACACCAGGGTTTGCCCTGTTTGTGGCCTGGGGCTGCCTGTGTCCCCCACATGCACGGAGGGCAGATTCCCTGCAGGAGGGCCTCTGAGGAGGACCTACGAGCTTAGCCCCCGGGACAGAACCTGGGGCACGGGGCGCATTTCCCGACCACGTCATCCCCGTCCTGCAGGTGGGGAGGTAAGCCTATGGCCCAGGCCGGATGTGGTTGTATTCAGCAAGGACATACTTTCTGCGTGCAACCAGGGTACATGAGCAATAGGACGTTGCCGCCAGCTTCAAGGTGACAGGTTCCAAGAAAGGGGCTTGAGCAGCGCACTTGACTCCGCGTACTTGACCCAAATACAAGGAGCTGTTGATGACACATGGCTTTGCTGGGAGAATCACGCCCCCAGGAAGGTGGGGCGCAGCTGGGGGGGACCGGCGAAGGCAGGAACACATCCCAGTAGTCTCGTGGATCTAATAAATCCACTTGTAGTTTCTCGGTTCCCACCTGGGGACGTGGGCCAGTGGCATGGGGCGATTCACGGCTGGCTGCACGACATTGGAGGTGGCCCTGGTCTTAGACTGGTCCTTCTGTGTGGCTCTGAGACATGCGTTTAATCACCAGTGCCACAGGGCGTTACTTGTGGTCGCATCCTCCAGGGGCCGTGCCCGTCCCCACCGGCCATCCTTCCTTCCCCCAACACCCCAGCCTGGTCCAGGGCCACGCGGCCATAGGCAAGTTCTGGTGGCAGACCTTGGGGACAGGGAAGCACGTCCCTGCTCTGAGGCCATGCACAGTGGTCAGCAGGTCCCGGTGAGGTAGGGCTGAGGCCCTCTGTTAGATTTGGCCATTATTTTCCTAACTGTGTGGCCTTATCTGCAGACCCCCTTGGGTCTCAGGCCTCATGAACCATGAGCTTAGGACAAGAACAAGAACGTGTCGGGGTTCCCCTCGGGGAGGGTCGGGGGATGTAAGGTGGATGGTTTGGCTTGGACACCCTCTTGTGGAAACACTCGATCTCACTGTGTCTGTAATTCATGTTTATTGGTTGTGGATGTAGCACAAATATCTTGTCCAGTAAGTTGGCCTAGGAAGCAAGCCTCAGAGTACACCCCAAATCCCAGGTGTTCTGTTCTAGAATTGGAGAGGCCTCTCTGAGGCATCACAGGTCCTGGGGTTGGGCCTCAGCTCTGCCACCCGCACAGTGACCTTGGGCAATGACCCCACATTCTTCAGGTCCCTGATGCTGTCGTGAGGACTCAGGGAAGGGATGCGTCCAGTCAGGGAAGTGAGAGGCGTCCGCACACCTGTCCAGGCAAGGCGGCTTATCTTCCTGTGTGCCTGTGGGGAGGACTCGTGTTCTGTGACCATCAGGAGTATTACGTTTTCTAGATGACATGCGGCTCCATGGCTATATTCCTGCACTCATGGACACGTCCCAGTCGCTCTCGGAGCCACATTTTTACATCTCCTAGAAAACATTCCTGACTAGCGATAGTAAGCTCTTCCAAGTAGAGCATGTTTGTGTCTATTGAAAAGCAATCAGCCCAGATGCCCTGGGGGCTCACTGGGGCTCCACCGGCTGTGAGGGCTTCAGGCACTGTCCACGCTGGGGCTCACAGCCCCCCTGGGGGGAGGGTCTGTAACTTGGGATGGGATAGAGAACGGACTGGCTGAGAATGAGTTCAGGGTGTCGCTGGGTGACGGCTGCCCTGAGCCTGTGGGGACGGCAGGTGTGGGCACAGTGCCAGCAGGGCCTGTCCCCAGCCCCGCGCTCTCCCCCGCTCCCCTCCAGCCTCCTGCGTGGGCCCGGGGTTTCTGTGCTTGAATGGGCTCACGGTGGGGTGGTGGGAAGCTCTGGTCTCTGAGGAGATGAGAAGCCTGGTGTGCTGCATAGACGTGCCATGGGAGCGCATCGCGGAGCTCACGCCTTCTGGGACCAAACGGCCAAGGAGTGTGGCCCCCGGTCTGGGACTGCCCGGCTGCCCCGTGCGCCTGGGCCAGCCCACAGGCCCCTCTCGCCCCCTGCCGCCTCCAGCTACGCACTGGGAGGGCCTTTCCCGGGCCTGGATGGGTAGAAACCAGGCTTGCGAAACTAGGTGACGGTTTCTACCTGGCGCAAAGGGCCCGGGATTTGTTTGTTGTTTAAACAGTTTAGGTGTTTAAGGATGTTCATTTTCTGTTTCCCCTAGAACCGTGCCAGGAAAAAAAGACTGAATATCATCATTGTGGCGGAGGGAGCCATAGACACCCAGAACAAGCCCATTACCTCTGAGCAGATCAAGGAGGTGAGCGTGTCCCAGTTTGCAGTTCTCCTCGGGCGCCAGCCCGGAAAGCGGAGATTTTAACGGCGCTGGCAGCGTTTGCGTTTGGAACGTTGTGTTATTATCATGAAAACCCTTTTTGTTCTCCCGGATACTGATAGATGGTTTTGTAATGACTCATGACTTTAACGGGGTGAGTCTCCTGCAGCTCCCGCCTGATTGTTGGGAATCTTCCCGGAGGCCTGGGAGCTGCCCTGGCGGTCGGGGAGACGCCGCAGGGTGGACAGGGGCTCCCAGCGCTGGGCGCCGGCTGCCCCACCAGGGACAAGGCTCAGGCACTGGGACGCGCAGCCCCAGTGCTCCTGCAGACGAGAGCACTTGTCACATGGGCACCTGTGCCGCACCCGGCCCTGTGGGGGGCCGCCCAGGAGGTCCCATTGCTGTGCGGCTCGCTGGAAGGTGCTGGCCTGGCGCGCCAGCCCCGGGGCCGGCGGGATGGGCCAGGCTCTCCAGTGGGGCAGGTGACTGCACGTGTTCCAGACAGAATGCTGGGGAGACAGACCGACAGACGGGCGGGCAGGCTCTGGGTGAAGCCGTCCATCACCCCAAAGGACGCTGTCAGCCGGGCTTTGCAACGTGGCTTTTCTGTCACGCCCTCTCCTCCTTCCCTGACCAGCTGAGCCCCTGACCTCAAGGCCTGGGGAGCTGTGGGTGAAGGCACTTTGCCAGTAGTGAAAGAAGGAGTAGGGCAAAGGTTTTCTTCCCCATGTAAGACATCGAGAGTGAACACGGGCCCACAGAGCAAGGGCCACAGGCTTCACGTCCCCCCCGCCCCACCCCAGTGTTTTCATAGAGAAGGAGGTGAGGTCTGGCGAGGACGGGGGCCTGACCCCGCAGCCTGCAGTGCACTCGTGGGGCCAGCCCGTGGGAATGCCGTGGTTGACCACGGTGCCCTTTTCACATACAGCTGTGCCCGCTGACGTGACTCAGGGAAACGTCTACATTCCTGTAAAACATCCGGGATGCCGTGTCCTTTTTCAAAAATCGTGTTACTTTGGTTCATTGGCGAGGTAGGAGAGACAGATTTTATGTGATAACAAAAGCATTCTTTCACAAAAACAAACTTCAGCTCACCGTTAAATGAAGCATCCTTTTAGGAAGTGAAATTTAGAAACTAGGATTTTTTTCCATGTCGGTGTGAAGCAGGAGTATCCAAGACCCGGGACGCAGTGACCCCCTGGGTTAACCTGCTGTGTCTCCTGCAGCTCGTGGTCAAGCAGCTGGGGTACGACACGCGTGTGACCATCCTGGGACACGTGCAGAGAGGCGGGACTCCTTCGGCCTTTGACAGGATTTTGGTGCGTGAGGAGGGAGATGGTCAGGTGCCTTCGCCTGGGGCGAGTAGGAACGGTTTGCCCACACACCATCCCGTTCAGAGTGTCTCTGCCTGAGCAGAGTGTGGGTGGCCCGTCCTGGACATGCTAACTGGGCTCGGCCCCCAGTCGCACAGATGTGGGAGACCCCAGACCTGGGGGGCCGAGGGTGACAGAGACCCCAGGGAACAGAGCCCATGGGCACGTGTCTGGAGGCAGGCCGTGGAGTGGCCCAGTCCACACTTGTGGGTGTTGGTCTTGGGTGCTCTCTGCCCTCTGACCTTCCCCTCACTGCCCCCGGCCAGCCGCTTGCTATAGGGTCGGAATCTCCTTGCTGGAGGCAGGTGGACGGTCAGTGGCTCTCTGGGACCCAGACCTGGAGGCCAGGAGGCAGGTTGGGTCCCTCTGAACACCGTGGGGCAGGTCTCTGCTCAGGGACGCATCTGCTGGGGGGACTGTGTTCATGCCATGGTGGAGCCCGGGGCCAGGCGGGGGGGGGGGGGGGCATGGTGCCTTGGCCTTGGACCTTGTCTCTGACCTCCGTGACTCTCATTTCCAGGCCAGTCGCATGGGGGTGGAGGCCGTGGTTGCCCTTCTCCAGGCCACCCCGGAGACCCCGGCCTGCGTGGTGTCGCTGAGCGGGAACCAGGCCGTGCGGCTGCCCCTGGTGGAATGCGTGCAGATGGTGAGTTCCGGGCGTCCACGCGCTCCCTGGTTAGTCCAACACGGGCTTCCAGGAGCTTCCCCAGAGCCGAGCTGCTGCCTGCGGGGAAGGCAGGGGGCTCTGAGGTCATCGGTCTGGGGCATGGGACGTAACCTCCGCTACGCTGAGAGAGGGAGTATGTGCAGACGATGGTGATGTGTAGAAACGTGGGTCTGTGGGGACTCCGGGGAGGGTGTCCTGGGGGGAGGGGCATGGGGCTGAAGTACTCCAATCTCTGCGTCCCTGCCCTCCTGTCCCTCAGCATCTTCTGACCGGAGGGCTGGCCGTGGGGCGGCTAAGGCAGGTGGCATCCTGATGTGCCCCGGACTCCTTTAGGCCCCTGGATGCAGGGACGGGTTATGGTTTCCCAGGTCACCGGGCACAGCGAGTGGCATTAGATACCGTGCCTGTCTTCGTTCTCCAGAGCCTGCCCGTGACCGTCCCTTCCCTGGCCTTTCTGGCAGCTCTGAGTGGATGTGTTGTGTCACCTAGACAGGGACGTGATTACTTGCAGGGACGTGTTGAATGTAGCCACAGAAACACACTTGCCAGAAGCCCTTGGGGTGAGCAGATGTGTGTGCGCGAGTGTGCGAGGCTGCATGTGTGTCACCTGCTCTCTGTCAAGGGCCTGGCCCAGTCCTGTCACCCCCGACGGCAGTGGGGATCAGAGGGGGCTGAGGTTCACAGAGGGACTAACTTACCAAGATGCCCAGGTTGAGAGGGGCAGGCCGCTTCCTTGGGGACCTGTTCCCCACTGTCACCCGCCCCGCGGCGACCCCCTCCCCCGAGAGGCTGGCTCTGTCCTGCTTCTTTTTTGTCAGAATCAGATCAGGAGTTGCTCAGAAGGCTGCGTCCATCGGAGAGCCTGGTTTCGCTCTGGCTTTGCTCTCCTGGGGATCTCAGGGTCCCCCTCTCCGGGATCGCCGGCCGACCCCCAGCAATTGTTACGGAGCTGCCTGAGCTGGGCAGGCCCGGGCGTGTCCCCTGCAGCTGGCTGGGGACTGCAGTCACTGTCCGCAGTGGCGAGTGACTCGCCGAGCTTGGGCTGCCAGCCTGGAAGGTGGGGACGGCCGGGTTGAGTCGGCAGGAGCCGCCAGGTGTGGCAGCCGTCATCATTCACAGACGTGGGAGTCTTGACATGTTCTCTTCTCCTTTATTTGTTTGAAGACCCAGGACGTGCAGAAGGCCATGGACGAGAGGAGATTTAAGGATGCTGTGCAGCTCCGTGGGAGGTGACTGTCGGGAGCGCTCTGCGTCCCCGGGGCTGGGTGGGACGTGCTCCAGGGCTGTGCTCCTTCTGTCCCAGCGGACGAAGTCGGAAGCTGAGACAGGCTGCAGGGCGCCACTGGGCAGCTCCAGGGCCCTGATGGCCAGTTGGGGGACCAGCTGGCGTGCGGTCTGCTTTCCGGCAGGCTGGGTGCTGGAGAACTTAGGGAGGGGCAGATGGGAACTGGGGCGCGGCCGGCAGGACACTGGAGCACGTGAAAGACCAGGTTTCTCAGCAGGCGGCCACCGCAGCTGGAGATACCGGCGCCTCGGGGATGCGGGGTGACCCCAGGGCTTTCTGCCTGCCCCAAGCGCTCCAAGCAGGGCTGAGCCAACTGCCCGCGTCCGGCACAGGCCTTCTCCCAGGGCCTCCCCTCACGCTCCATGCGCCTTCTGACCTCCGCCCGATGGCCCCCTTTCCTTCCAGGAGCTTCGAGACCAATCTCAACACCTACAAGCGGCTCGCCATCAAGTTGCCTGACGATCAGATTGTGAAGGTCGGTGATGCTGCGCGCCGCCCCGAGAGCCAGCCCCGCGTTCCCCGTGGACCCCGCCCCCGGGATCCTGGGCTGAGCGCCTGCCCCGCGCTCACAGCGTGTCCCCGCTGTCTCGCAGAGCAACTGTAATGTGGCGGTCATAAACGTGGGGGCGCCCGCTGCCGGGATGAACGCCGCCGTGCGCTCCGCCGTGCGCGTGGGCATCGCGGATGGACACAAGATGCTCGCCATCTACGACGGCTTCGAGGGCTTCGCCAAAGGCCAGGTGAGTCCCTGGGGGATGTCGTTGGGAGACGGAGGACCTCCCAAGGCTGCAAACTAGCGCTCTGTCACATGGTGAGCGCAGACGCTGCTCTGTAGGATGACTTCTGCTCTAGATCCGCCCTGGGGTACGGGCCCTGGGCGCTGCAGGATGCTCCGTGTGGCGCGCACCTCCGGGGTTCCTCAGGGGCTGCAGGCAGTGGGGCCGGTGGGGCCCGTGGGGGCCGGCCTCCGGAAGGAAGGGGCCGGGTCGTGTGTCTCCCAGAGGCTGTTGTGCTGCGGGAGTGGGATGCAGCCAGCAAGCACTTGGAGGAAAGTTTTGCTGAAAGGAGGGAACAGACCCTTTGAGTGCTTACTGTGTACACTGAGTACTTCAAGGAGAGCTGCAGACCTGAGATATTAGCCCCATTTTCCTTATTTAGAAACTGAGGCATGGAGACACGGATTAGCCTGACCGAGGTCACATGCTGCAGGAGTTGAGATAATGGTGGCTGAGGCTGCGGTGTGCCCTGCGGGACAGTATTTATTGGCCTGATCACCCAAAATGTACTGAGTTCTTACCCCGGGGAAGCCAGCTGGTGCGGAAAGCAGAGCTGCCCTCTGCCAGGCTGTAGCTTGGGGAGGGAGAGGATGGTGAGCGATGGGGGGAAGCACGGGATGGGGCACCTTGGGCCGGGACCAGCGCTGCACAGATGCCCAGAGTAGGGGTCTGCCCTGGGACCTAGGGACCCCAGGGGAGGGAGTCTCAGACGGGGGACGGAGGCGCTGAGCCAGTGGCCTCGAGAATGTGCCGGCTGGAAAGGACAGCGCCAAGGCCCAGAGGGGCTTGGGACGGTGGGCTCACGTGGCTGCTGCCTCAGCAGAGCAGGGGAATGGGAGAGGGTGGGGTCAGGTGGCTTGTAGGTGATTGGAAGGAACTTGGGTTTTGCTCAGAGAAGACAGGAGGGGTTTGAAGAAGCAGGATGGGACCTGTGGACAGGTGACCGGATGCCCTGGGGGGAGGTGTCCTGGGAGCTGGCAGGGGTTGTGCTCGGGGTCTCTAAGAAGCATGGGCTGGAGACTGGAGTTGGGAAGGGATCGGTGTGTGCGGACCAGACCACACTCTTAGGACCGGGGAGGGGAGCCAGCCCAGGAGACGGCCTGTGTGCATGCCTCTAGCTGGCCTCACCTGCATTCTTGAGATTTCTTTCAATTTTTAATTAAAGAAGTTTTCTTTTGTATCAACTAAGAAAAACAATATCTGTCTTTCTTTCATTCCCGTGGGTAGAACATGGCCAGCTGAGGTCTGGATCTGATCTGCATGGTGGGGGTAGGCAGCGGGAGGGCCGGGGTGAGGTGTCCTGGGTTCCACCTGACCCACCTGACCCGCTCAGCGAAACGACGGGGACAGCTTCCGAGTGCCTCACAGGCCCCTGGGGAGGTGCCCCTGCAGAGCGTGTGGACCTGGGAGCCCTCTGTCCGCACAGCTCATCCCCTTGTTTGTCGCCCCCCCGTTCGGCTGTGTCTGCACGCCAGATAAAGGAGATCGGCTGGGGGGATGTCGGAGGCTGGACCGGCCAAGGAGGCTCCATTCTTGGGACCAAACGGTAACTTCCCCATCCCCGTTCTGAACAGCTCTTAGGAAGGGGAAGGGCACCCATCCTAGACGAGCAGCTGGGGCTGAAGCTGCTGCTTTTCACTCTGGGGAAGGGACCCCGAAGGCAGTTGGTGCTGGCTCACGTGCCAGCACCCTCCCCACTACGAGGGATCCGGGTCATGCTCTGGGGAGCCCCCGAGATTTGCCCTGCAGCAGAGGCGAGGCACGTGACTCGGGGACTGCTGTCGCAGTGTCCTTGATCTCCGCTGATGCACAGAGCCCCATGGTGGCTGCAGGCGGGCCCTGCGGAGCCCACGTCTTCTCTACCACGGCTTGCTGCCCGCCCCCGCTGCTGGGGATGCTGGGGCTCCTGGTCCACCTGTGTGCCCCGGGCCCCTTCCGATCGGCTGTGATACCCACGTGCTTGTGCTTTTGAGCCCAGGGTTGCTCCAAGGTGGTGGCTGTGCTCCAGAAGCCGGGGGACCCTCTCATTGCCCCTGAGCCCCCTGGTTTGCCCCGACTACCCAGCCCCGGGCAGTTTTGTCCTGAGAGTTCATTTAAATGTACTGAAAGCACAAACATCTTGTCCGCACGGGGGAAAGAGGAGGGCGGGTGTTGGCGGCTCTGTGGCCGCGGCCGGGCCAGCGGTCATGCGTCTGGTCCTCCACGCTGGCCCGGCCGTTGCCTCCAGGTGATAAGACAGGAGGCGGGTCGCGAGCGGGAGCACGTGCGGCGTTACTGAGAGCAGGGCTGGGTGAGCTGCGCGAGCGGGGGTTCGGGGGTCAGGAACACTCACAGGCGTTGACAGAGCGTTTCCCTGAGGAGGTGTCAGGGTTCTCTTGGGGTCCAGCTGAGCGTCCCTTCCTGTGTGTGGTGTTCGGTTTTGTTGTTTTAAATACACTCCCTGGAGCCTTGCTTCCCCAGCTCTGCCGTCCAGCAGGGTACGGCTCGTGGGGGTCGCGGGGCTCCCCAGAGGCTGGCGGGGGTGTCGCCCGTGGTGCGGGGTCTGCCCGCCTGCATGTGTGCCCTGGCCTGTCTCTAGCACGCTGCCCGGGAAGTCTTTGGAGGACATCGCCGCGCAGATGCGGACGCACAGTATCAACGCCCTGCTCATCATCGGGGGATTCGAGGTGCGTCCCTGGCCCGGGGCACCTGCCCGCGGTGTAGGGGGTGAGCGTGGGCAGGCTTCAGCGGCGCAGTGCAGTGGGCGGGGGCGGCGGGAGCAGCCGAGTTGGGGGCAGGAGCGGGGCCCCCCACCTGGGACGCGTGCGTCTCCGTCTGCGCAGGTGGTCGTCTCTCTCGAATTCGAGGCCCGTGGCCACCAGCAGGCAGGGTGGTCACGTGACCCCACGGCTTGCGGTTGAACATTGGACCGCAGACCTTAACTGTTTTTATTCAACCATGATGGGTCCCTCCTAACCTCTCCGCTTGCTTTAGAGAAGACCTAAGGGCCTCAGACAATGAGACGCTTGCCCCCAGGAGACGCGGTGTCCCTCCCGCCTGACCTATCTGGTGACCCTCCCGCCTTCCGTGTTCCTAACGGCCCTCTACTCCCCTCCCCCCACACCTGCACACTGCCTGACAGGCCTACCTGGGACTGCTGGAGCTGTCGGCTGCCCGGGACAGGTACGAGGAGCTCCGTGTCCCTATGGTCATGGTCCCCGCCACCGTCTCCAACAATGTGCCGGGCTCCGACTTCAGCATTGGTGCGGACACCGCGCTCAACACCATCACCGACGTAAGTCCGTGTGGCCGGCAGAGCAGATGCGGTGGACGCTAGCGCGGGGGGCGCTGGCCCACTTTTATCTGCCACGCACTAGAGACGGCGGTGAGACTCCAGCTTGTTTCCAGAAACGCTTGCTTTTTTTTCTTTTTTTCCTTAAGCCTGACTGTCTCTGATCCGATGCCCAGAGTTGTCTCAGCACCGGGGCTCCGCTGCGGCCAGCCCTCGAGTGACTGGGAGCGTCTGAGGCTCCCCTAGTTGTGGGCTGGATTTCGTGATTCAGCTAATCATTAAAGTTAGGTGGTTTTTTTTGTTGTTGTTGTTTTTGTTTTGTTTTTTTTTGGCTGGACCAAATTTACTTCAGCCCCATAACATCCTTTATTAATTTTTTAAATTGGTTTATTATTTATTTGAGAGAGAGCAACAGTTAGTGAGAGCGAGCCCAAGCAGGGGGGAGCAGCCGGCAGAGGGAGCAGCAGGCTTCGTGCTGAGCAGGGAGCCTGACGTGGGACTCCATCCCAGGACCCTAGATCATGACCTGAGCCGAAGGCATATGGTTAAGGACTGAGCCCCCCAGGAAGCCTTGGATCATAATTTATTATGACAAATCCTGGGTCTGATGCCCCCGAATGGATGAGGATAGAACCTGAGCTTGAGGGTTCTGTAATTTTGTTCACTGACCTGAATCCACCAGTGGCCTCCGTCCTCCCTGTGGCTCCTGCTGCTGGCACCGTTCTCCCCACTGTAACTCAGGGACACTAACTCACACCTGAAAAATCAGTGATGCCATGCTGGTTGTTTTGCCGAAAAGCAGTAGCAAAGCAGAAACACACCCATGTTCCCCGGTTTGTGATCACGCCGGGCAGGTGGTGTGGGAGCTCACAGCACAGTAACGAGCAGAATACGCTCCTCCTCCTTTTTAATCTGGCGTCCGCAGTTCTTCAGTAAATCCTCCAGTCTTTATTTTCCCTGTGAGGACACAGATCCCAAGAGTGTTTTTTTAGGATTCTTTTTCTTAACCCCTGGGATCACGTTTGTCTCTAGTGCTGGTAAATAAAAGAGAAGCTTTTTAAATAAAATTCAGGCGGTAAGTAATGCTTTAGCACTTTGCTTCTTTGTGTTTTGTTTTGTTTTGCTTTTCTGAGCTGCTTCACCGTTCTGTGGTTTCTTTACTAAAAAGCCCTGCCCTGTGTCTCCCGTGCGTCCACGCCGGAGCGCCCCTGTTGGCACCACTAACCTGTCTCCGGGCCATCGCGCCCGCCGTCCTGGTGACTGTTGCTCCTGTTTTGCCCGCTCGGAACCAGTTCCGCCCCTGCTGAGGCTCCCGCCTTCTGTGGGAGGGTCACATTCCCTCCCTGTGTGTGACCGTCGTCCGTGCTTTCCTGCTGTTTCTCTGTCCTTGGCTGGAGTCTGCATCTGCTTACACTCGGTGGAAGGAACCGCAAGTTCATGTTTCCTAACTGTCACCGGCTTGGAGCCCTCCGGGGGTTGGGGGAGGGGGTACATGGGAGTTGGCGGCGGTGGCGGGGCGGGCCTTGGTGGGTGTTGGTTTCCCTGTGACATCGGGTGTGTGCTCTGTGGCACGAAGCCAGGGGTCTCCCGCTTTAGAGTTCCAGGATCCTGTGCTTGAAAACATGGTTTCCAGGTTATCAAGATTAGATAGAAAAATACATACAGAAACTCTAAATGGTCCACCTTGCTGCCCTGGAGTGGTTTGGAAATTGGGTAAATGATCTTTTAAATCGGGTTTCTCACGTGTCTGAGTTTCTTCAAGCCGGTTACCCAGTTATGAGGTGGCTCCTTCGTGTCGGGGCTGGTCCAGGCCTGCGCTCGCAGGGAGAAGGTGCGCACGCGTGCTGAGGCCCAGGCCTGTGGGTGGGCTCGCGGGCACCAGGGCCTTGTCCTGGCCTGTGACCCGTGGTGAGCTGGATGTCCAGGGGGACCTGTGTAGGAGCCTTGACACCCACTCCTGCCCCTGCTGGTTGTGTCCTGGTTGGGACCCAGGCACGGGCAGGGTGTGTGGACGTGGCTGGGTTTCGTATGGAGTGGTGTTTGTGCAAGCCGGAGTGAAGCCGTGTGGGGTTTGGATCTGGGTTGGAACCTGGCGGGGCTGGCCGCACAGAGGGGAGCGGCCGGCTGGAAAGGTGCCCTCGGGGCTCCGGGGCCGGCTCAGGGTGCCCTGTGTTGCTCCTGACGGGCTCCAGAGGGACCGAGCACCAGAGTGAGTTCCGTGCAGGTGTGCGCCCGTCACCCAGGCGCTCTTGCCCGGGTGGACCAGCTGTGGGCCCGTGGCCTCCTGTCCAGGTGCGCTGGCTGCCCTGAGTGCCTCTTGTGCTGGGATTCTGCCCCCGGGCTGCGTCAGCAATGCCTTGGGGTGGTTTCGGTCGCCAGAACGGGCTGTGGGGGTGCCACTGGCGCATGGTGGCTAGAGGCCCGACTGCTGCTGACCCCCACGACCTCAGCATGGCCCGGCTGCAGGGAGCCATCGGCCCCAGTTGTCCGTAGGGCCCAGGCCCCCGGACGTGTCGTGATCTTGGGCACTTCGGTCACTGTCCTAACAGTTGATGTCCTCCGTGTCAGCGAGGGTGCTCAGCTTACTGGGGCATCCCTCAGACAGACCTCTGTGCATCTCGTGCTTCCCGAAGGCTGCGATGACTCCCGGGCCCGTCCAAGCGGGGGCTCAGAAAGCCGTCCCACCACGGCTGCGTGGCTTGTGAGGGGCTGTGTTTGCATCCCCAGAACTGGCGCCCAAGACCTCCCCAACCGATCTGAGCCTCGTGGTGCCGTGCGGGCCGGGAGGGTGGCCGCCCCGAGTTAGGAGCACGAGATGGGAGCAGGGTTATTTCCCCACAAAGCGTCCCACCTTTCTCGGCGTTAGTGCGGGGCTGTTGTGTTGTAAATTCCGTGCACTTGGAGCCCAAAGCACAAGTCTGCCTTGCTCCCCAGACCCGGGACCAGATATCCCCTCCAGCCGCCTGCTCCCTCTCCTGGCAGGGCTGTCCCCTGTCCTTGCGGGAGGGTCCCGGTTGTATTCCTGGAGATGGAGGAGAAAAAGAGGAGCAACAGGAACCAGAATGCGGACAGTTTTTGTGGTTGTGGGATGCTGGATTTAGGGATGCTAACCGCCCTCCTGGCCTCAAAGCCCACCCTGTGACTCCGGGACAGCCGGCTGCACACCTGCCCACACTAGCACTACACGTGGGGCCCTCACCTGGCCTTGGGGCCGAAAAGCAGGGTCCGTGCAGGGACGGGGGCAGGCTGAGGTGGAGGAGGGTGAAGGCAGAGGGGCCACGAGGCAGGGGAGTGACCCCCTCCGCTGCCTCCTGGCTGCTCCCTGGACTAACCTGCCACAGGTCCACCATCCACAGGTCCTCGGGCCACAGGAGCCCCAGGACCCGATGTGTTTTGGGGAAGCACGAGGCCATGGAGAGCATCTGCCTCTCCGGGAGGCCTGCCCCCACCCCATCCTGGTGTGCTCCTGCAGCAGTGCACGGTGGTCACCTTGGGGGAGAAGTACAGCCCGTGTGGGCGTCTGTGTGCCTGTGGGTGGTCTCTCAAACCGCCCGGCCGTCCGGCGAGCCTGGTGGGCTCAGGGCTGGCAGATGGGGGACCTGTGCCACTAACGAACACTGGATTAACAGAGGCAGAGACCTCAGACCTCTGCCCACGAGCCTGCGAACAGTCCCTCTTTGGCCTCGGAGGCAGACTCTTCAGCCTGGGGTCCCCGAGCGGCCATGGGGCTCTGGCTTTTCCGGCTGCTGGGTCAGTTCCTGGGAAGGGCTTGGGGAAGAGCAGAGGCGCGACCGGCTAGGCTCCCCAGCTCAGTGCTTGTCGCCCTGCTGGCTGCCTTTCATGCCGGTGCTGGGGTCCTTGTCGAGGCCAAGCTGCAGGGCCCCTGTGCCCCCGTGGACCGCACAGAGCTGCCAGGCTGGCCTGGCCCCTGATAAAGCCCCCCACACCCCGCCACCATTTGGCCTCCCTCGCTGCCTCCGAGCTGCCAAGGGGGGATGGCTGTCTGTCCACTAACACGCCACCTTCCCTGGCTCCTGCTTTGCCACCTGCCGGCTTGCATCACCTCCTCCTGGAGGCCTGTGCCCCACGTCTGGGTCCCCGCTCCCGCAGCTCCCCTTCTGCAGTCCCAGAGCTCCCACGCCCCTGGCCCCGTGGACACGGCTCGCAGGGGTGCTGGGGACGCCCCGCTGACCACTTGCACTGCTGCTTCAGGCTTTCGAGAGTGCTGTTCTGCTTGCCGACTCGCGGGGCCACCACCCGGAGTTCTGCATTCCCATTTGCATCCTGCCGACCACCATTAGCAACAATGTCCCGGGCACAGATGTGAGCCTGGGCTCGGACACGGGCCTCAATGCCGTGGTGGAGGTAAGAGGCCCCGTGGCTCCATCAGGTGGACTTGGGCAGGGGGTTTCTCTTCTGCTCTCGCGGGCGCAGAGGAGGAGCCCACCAGAGCAGAAGCCCACCTTCTGCTGCAGAAAGCGCGAGCCGCAGTGAGGGTTCCTTCTGTGGTCGGTCAGTGGGAGCTCGTGGCGTAGCTGAGACAGGGCTGGTCCTCGAGCTCTCCAGGTGAGGTTCATTCTTGCACACCCCAAAGCAAGACACCCTAGTCTCTCGTGGGCTGTGCCCAGTAGGCTCGTCTCACGCTCAGGGGACAGCCAGCCTGCAGTGGTGTGTGAGGAGGGCTCAGCGCAAGCCCGGAGGGCGTGCGTGCAGGGATTCGGGGCCTGGGAGTGGGAACGCTCCAGGGGAGAGTAGGCATGTGGCTTGGACATGCCCTTGGTTGTGCAGGGGGAGGCTCTGCTCCTAGAAAGGAGCTCCCGTCCTTGGGGATCCGGCAGGCCCCGCCCTGGGCACTGTCTGGTCTGTGGGTACCAGACATCGGTACCATGGTGATGGACTGCTGTGGGGCGTGGTCCCCCAACAGGAGGAGGGCAGGTGGCCAGGGGAGGAACATCCCCATGGTGGGGGCTAACCTCCCAGCAAGACTGCGTCTCCAGTCCAGGTCCGGGGCTCTCGTCTTCACCCTGTTCTGAGCGCCTCCTTACGTTTTCACACAATTTGTTTTTAAAACACGTGTGACGAGACGTTAGCTGCACTGGGACTGTTAACGCCAAGTTTCGAGGCGAGTGGGACTGTAGCCCGGGGACTGCTGGGAGAACGGTCTGGCTGCCACGGCAGGGCATCTGGGTTTGGGAGGGGACCCTCCCACCGTGAACGGGGCCTCTCTGGGGACGTCCACACTCCTGATTCCTCCCTGTCCCCTGACCTGTGCTCCCAGCGCGGGGTGGGGCTGCTTTCCGTACTGAAGCTTTGTCGGTGCTGGTTTTAGTGACCGAAGGGGCCCGGCTGCTGGATTAGGAGCTGGTGCGTCTGGTGGCCACCGTTCCTCGGTCCTCTCTCCCGGGAGCAGGACAGAGGCTGCAGCTGGTGCCAGCAGTGGACCTCCAGGGAGAGGCTTGGATGCATACTTAGACCTTATCCCGGGGCTGGGCAGGCAGACCCGGATCAGAGTGGTCATCTGGGACGGGGCCAGGTGGGGACGCTGTGGTCCCGGGAGCATGCATGGGGTCTGCACTGGTGAGGCCACAGGAAGGCAGCGGACAGGTGTGTGCTGTGTCAGCCCTGAGCTTGTGTCCCGAGGCTGACCCGTGGCAGGCGTTTCCTTAGGAGGCCTGCTGTCTGAGCGTCTGGAAGACTCCTGAGGGCCTCTGTCCAGGAGCCCCTGTCCAGATCCAGAGAGCTGCCCTCGTGGGGTGTCGTGTTTGGGGTTAGACTGAGGAGGAGCAGGACCCAGATGTCACAGGGAGCCTTTCAGAAGAAGCCCATCCACCAGACGGGGCCCACAGCCCACGAGGCTGCATGGGCAGCTCCAGCGAGCTGGCCCAGCCCGCCGTGGGCATGTCAGGATACAGGGATGGTGAGCACAGCCGCAAGGGCCGGGGGCGCCGGGGACCGCAGTCTCTGTCCCTGTGTCCCAGCCCTGGCCGCCCCCACGGTGGAATGACCTGTGTCCTCCTCTGTGGCCAGACGTGTGACCGCATCAAACAGTCGGCCAGCGGGACCAAGCGCCGTGTGTTCATCATCGAGACCATGGGGGGCTACTGCGGCTACCTGGCCAACATGGGGGGGCTCGCCGCTGGAGCCGATGCCGCCTACATTTTTGAGGAGCCGTTCGACATCCGAGACCTGCAGGTACGTCCCTGCCGCGGGGCCCCTGGGTGACACGGTTGTCGGTGCTGCTGTCCGGTCACACGCTTGGTGGTTGTCTCCAAGGGAAGCGTGACGGGGTTGACAGGACACCAAATTCTACGCACTTTCAGGGACCCTCACTGGATCGAGGGGTGTGAGCGGACGCCCAGCTTCCTGTTGAGACCCATGTCCTTGTGGGTGTCCGTGCGGGAGGGCCACGGGAGCACATGCTCCCCGGAGCGCCGAGGCCTCCCTGCTGCAAAGGCTGGGTGTGACGGGGGAGTGCATGGCGCTTGCCGGGCTGGCGGGACTGGGCTGGCGGGCTTAAGGCACTAAGAACAAAATAGAACCTGCTTTCTGATTGCATGCTTCCTTTAGAGATTTTTTTAAAAAAATTAACAATGTATTTTTTAGAGCAGTTTCAGGGTGAGGACAGAGGTCCCCTGCACGCCTGCCCCACACCCAGCAACACCCCCGCCAAGGTGGGACAGTTGTCAGAACAGACCCCCCCTCCCCCAACATTAACGTGTCACCTGCACCTGGGACCACAACTGACATCAGGATTCACCTGGGGATCCTAAGGTTGAGATGCGCTTTCCGAATCAGCCAAGGTTCCCTCGGGTCCCAGCTTTATCGGGGGCGAGTGGCAAGTGCAGGGGAGTCGGGCTGCGCACCCCCCTTGGGGCAGGAGGAGGCGGGCACTGGACAAGGACAGGCCTTAGGAAGACAAAACTCGCCCGAAAATACAGATAAAACTGTATTTGTGCTGCAGAAGTGAGCACAGGAACCTTAAAGTCTTTGTTTCTGGATCCCACGAGTCAAGCAGAGACCCGCTTGACGATTTACTCGTTATCAGACTTAACCTGGGAATTTCTTCACACCGTGGATCTGACCATCTGTCCTTCAGAAACCACCGGAAGGCAGGGCTCAGTGTGCACACGTCTCCGCCCCAGCACACGGGCAACCACTGTGAGGACGGATTTGCTCACACGCGCACACCTCCTTCCCGTGCACGTTTTCTGTGCTCAGGATCCAGAATCCCTTTCTGTACAAACTTTGTACACAAGTGCAAGGCTAGAAAAGCTTCTCTGGGCCTCCAGATCCCCAGATCAGGCAGTCAGGAGATTATGCACAAATTTAGGTGTGCTAGTTTGTCCTCCCAGGGAGAAGACCTCGTCAGGCACAGGAGCAAGGGGCGCTGGTACACACAGGTTTGGTACACAGAGGACGTGAACTCGCGATCGAAGAGGGAGAGCTATTTATTCCGCCCCTGCGCGCTGCGCCATCTGTGCCCAGCTGAGCAGCTGCCCTCTGGGCCGAGCACGCTGCCTGCGAGCAGGTGCTGGTCTCTTCTGCTCCACTGGCACCCCCGGCTGGTCCTCGCCCTGCAGCTGTGCTCTCCCGCGCCCCCTGCTGTGTGCGACCCCGGGGTCCTGTGGTGGCGGGTGCTGGGCTAACTGAATGCTCTTTCCTAGTCCAACGTGGAGCACCTGACGGAGAAAATGAAGACCACCATTCAGAGGGGACTCGTGCTCAGGTACAGACACTCGTCCTCGGTCACTGAGCCCCAGCTCCCCAGACGACCTGGCCACGGGGTTGAAGTACTCCAGGGCGGTCGTCACTCACCACTGGAGACATGCAGGAGGGGCGGTTACATGCTGACTTCAGAACCACACGCATTCGTGTAACTAAAGGGCACATCGGAAAATGCACTTTTGCTTTGTAGTTCTTTTTTTTTTTTCCCCTAAGGTGTCACCAAGTCATTTCTTTAAGACACTGGTATTTCTTTTCTTTTCTTTTTTAATTAATTTTTAAATTGTTTTATAAACATAAAATGTATTTTTATCCCCAGGGGTACAGGTATGTGAATCGCCAGGTTTACACACTTCACAAAACTCACCATAGCACATACCCTCCCCATTGTCCATAACCCCACCCCCTCTCCCAACCCCCCTCCCCCCATCAACCCTCAGTTTGTTTTGTGAGATTAAGAGTCACTTATGGTTTGTCTCCCTCCCAATCCCATCTTGTTTCATTTACTCTTCTCCTACCCCCTTAACCCCCCACGTTGCATCTCCTCTCCCTCATATCAGGGAGATCATATGATAGTTGTCTTTCTCCGACTGGCTTATTTCGCTAAGCATGATACCCTCTAGTTCCATCCACGTCGTCGCAAATGGCAAGATTTCATTTCTTTTGATGGCTGCATAGTATTCCATTGTGTATAGATACCACATCTTCTTTATCCATTCGTCTGTTGATGGACATCTCAGTTCTTTCCATAGTTTGGCTATTGTGGACATTGCTGCTATAAACATTCGGGTGGCCACTGGCATTTTTACAAGAAGATGCGTGCAGTGTGGGATGGGCATGGGGCCGGCTGCACGCCCCACCAGGGCCCTGAGCCCACGTGTCCTCTTGTTGCAGGAACGAGAGCTGCAGCGAGAACTACACCACGGACTTCATCTACCAGCTGTACTCTGAGGAGGGCAAGGGCGTGTTCGACTGCAGGAAGAACGTGCTGGGCCACATGCAGCAGGTGGGCCTGGGGCCTGCGTGATGCGAAGCAGGCCGCTGTCCAGGAGGCTCGGTGTAGACGGATGCCTTATTTTAGCTGTGATGGGGGAAAAAATGTGTGTTCAGGAGAGATTTCAGGCATCTTGGCATTTACTTCACCACGTTACGGTTCCATTAAGAAGTCCCACCACGTTCCGCCAGCTATAGAAATTCTGCGCTTAGGTAGATGGGAGACCTTCGGTGTTCTTCTGGTGACCAAGTACTTCATTCACTATTTACACATCAGACACAGGATGCTTGAGGTTTGCACAGAATCAGAGCGGTCTGGAAGGAACCTCAGGGTGTGCTTTGCTGGAGGTGGGCGTGGGGTAAGGGCTGCAGTCGCCAGATGGCATCCCTGTCCTGGTCCCAACACTACTCCCCCTCCCCCCACCATCTTAGGGTCTTAACTTACCCACGCGTCCATTCCAGAGGGGCCCGTCAGTCCCCTGCTTATGTGACGAAACGGTGTGCGTCTATTTTTGTGAAAGCCCTCGGGGTTGGTCAGATTCTTAATGGAAACTGTGACCTGCTCCCTACCCCAAAATAAGACATCCCGACAGGAGATTTGAAAGAACGAAGCCAGGAGCTGCGCAGCCCCGTGCGGGGTGGGGGTGAGCGTGGGGAAGCTGGCCTCGGGGGCAGAGCTCTGGCTGCAGGTCCCAGCTACGTACAAGCAGGTAAAAACGTGCAAGAACAAAAACACAGACTCCTGAGCCCCCACTTATAGGGTGTGACTCTCGTCAGAGTAGGAGGTGAACTTCGTAAACTCTCACACCTTTCAGTGCATTTTGAAACGCAGCCAGGCCGCCATCCTGTGTCCGTAACTGCTCCCGTACCTCTGGCTGTCCGCAGGGTGGGGCGCCTTCGCCGTTCGATAGAAACTTTGGGACCAAAATCTCCGCCAGGGCCATGCAGTGGATCAGCACGAAATTGAAGGAGGCTCCAGGCAAAGGTAGGTGCCACGGCTGGGGGTGGCCGGTGCTCCAGGGGCAGGTGCCTGCTGCTCTGCACATGCTCGGCCTCGAGCTGCATGGGGCCTCGCTCTGCAGGTGCTCTGGGACCTTCAAGGCTGTCGTTGGCTGTGATTCCTCAAAGGCAGGGCTTGGCTCCTGCTCCATGGATGTGGGGGGCACTCAGGTACCTCAGCGCCATGCTCCTTACGTCAAGGACGCCTCCCATACACAGGGCTCCCCCAGCAGGACCCTAGGTATGACCTGCCCTCGTGTTTGGCCACACAGCACGCTCTCACCTGGCCTTGACTTAGGACACCAAGGACTTAGGGACTCTTCATGACCCTTCTTTTCAGAGAAAACTGGGAACTGGCAGGTGTCTGGACGGTTTGCTCCTCTTGAATCTAGCATGTTCTCTCCAGCACACTGCCCTCCCTCCCCACCAGACCTCAGAACTGTAGAATCATTCTGCTTTCCGTGGTCCTGCCACCTCGGGGACACCTTCGCAGGCTCCTGTGGTTTATGGGGATGGAGGCCGGCAGTGTGCATTTCCCTTTGCTGGGGCGTTGGTCTCTGATGCACACCTGGCGGGTGTTCTGACCTTCGACCTGCATCCCGGTGTCCCCAAGCACAGGGTGACCCATGGGGTGTGTGGTCTCCTTCCTCCTGCCCAGGTGACACGTGACCCATCCCTGGCGGGCTGTCGCTGTGATGTGGGCAGTTTCCTGTGGCTTTGAGGTGAACTCTCCAAAGTGAGGAGGGAGGTCAGCTTCCTCGGGCTCCCGCTGGTTCTGTGTGCTTTTCTGGTATTTTGCCTACTTTCCTATTGCTTAGAAATATTTCCCTTATTGACACATAGTTTTTGCTTTTGTATCATTGTATAGATTTAAAAATGTTTCAATGACTTTACAGAAACTTGTTCTACTCTGTGTTCTAGAAAATTCCATTTCATATTCTGCCCAGGCCATGTTGCAGACAGGGCTGTCCTGTGGGGCTTGTTTTGTGCAAGCATTGCTCCTCAGTCTTTAGGTAGACCGTTTGCCTTCTCCTTGACGGTTTGCGCTCTTCGCTGAAACGTTTTTACATTTCCTTCTTTGATCTACTTGATGTGAAGTCTGAGGTCTGACTTCATGTGGGCACTCACTCACATGCCATTCATTGCATCGTCTCTAATCTCCATCAGAGACTGGGTAGCTGGGACACTGGTGGGACCGTCTCTGGGTTAGCGAGTGTGCGGTCTGGCATTCAGTTGCTCTCTAGACGATTTCCCTTTTCTTCTTCAAGATTTTATTTATTTGACAGAGATCACACGTAGGCAGAGAGAGAGGGGGAAGCAGGCTCCCCGCCGAGCAGAGAGCCTGATGCAGGGCTCAATCCCAGGATGCTTGGATCATGACCTGAGCTGAAGGCAGATGCTTAACCCATGAGCCCCCCAGGCATCCCCATAGATGATTTCTGATAGCAGGAAAAGTGACGCCCCACTACCCCGGACATCTTTTGGTTTCCACTATCCTTGGCTCTTTGTGCTGTCACGGAAATGGAATCAGACTGTTACAGTCCACCAAAAACTGTTGGATGTTTTGAGGGAATTATATTTAATCAGTAAATTATATGGTGGAGGATCTGAGATTTTAAAAATATTTTATAGTTCACAAACACTATCTCCATATACTTAGGCCTTTCTTTATCTCTTGTGAAGGTATAAAGATCTTGCGGTATCTTTTGTAAATTTATTCCTGACTCGACATTTTAAAAAATGTTACTGTAAATGGTATTTTTTAAACTCACTGTTGGCATACAGAAATACAACTTTTGTAAAGTTTGCGATCCACAACTTTCTACACACTCTGAATTCCAGTAGTTATTTGCCAATCTGTTCGTTTTTCGCATCCATGGAGACAGGACCATCTGGACATCTTAACGTTTTCCTTGCGGCTTGTGGGGGGGGGTGTGTGTCGCTCTAGGGCAGTCCTGAAGAGCGGGAGTGAGGAGAGCTCCTGTGCAGGCCGCGGCCCTGATGGGAATGGGGAATGTGTTCAGCGCCCTTGAGCACGATCGGTAACTGTCTGACTGAGGGCTTTCTGCAGCTCGCGAGTGCCGTGGGTCTGCGGTCATGATGCTGTGTCGTGCTGCAGTCCTCTGACCGTGAGCGCGTGTTCTGGGTTTCCTCTGCCATCTTAGAAAACCGTTTCGTAAGTCAGTGGCATAAAGAAGCAGTTTATACAGAAGTTCCTGAGCATTCCCAGGCCTCCCCAGGTCACTCAGGACACGCGTTGCTAACGGACGCACGAAATCACTCAGGGTGCAGCCAGGACGCGCACAGGCACAGCCCAGGTGGCTGACGCCGCGGGCAGTTCCCGGGGAAGGCGCTGGGTGGCGCCACTTCTGAGGTTTGTGCTTTTCGGTTTTTATAAAAGCTAAAATCCTCTTTGGGTGTCCTGTCCGTACAGAGAGGTCCAGGTGCAGGTCTTGGGACAAAGCGGGGTACCTGTATGCACCTTCGCACAGATGGAGGCGTGTGTGGCCTGCTGTGTGTGAGGCACATGTGAGGCCGGCCTTGCTTCCTGTGGTGCGCTCTTCGCCCCAGGCACGGGCTCCTGGACGGTCTCCCGGGATGGCCTCCTGCTCCGGCGACTTCCCGACGCGTCCTGTCTAGGTGTGGGGGGGTGGGGTTCCCCGTGGATACCATCAAGCCTCCTGCTCGCCTTGTGGGCAGCGTTGACTGGAGTTCCCTAAGTTAACGGAAAGAGCAGAGCTGCTCTGTGACCGGGTTTGTAGGTTCTGTTTCTAGAACTTTCTGTGCACATGGCGCTTCCACCCGCTACTGCAGACACCGGGCCTCAGCCCCGTTTTCCGGAGCAGCCTGACCAGATCCGTGTCTGTCAGTTTGATTTCCAGACTTTGACTTAAAGAACAGCGAGGCCTATAGAGCCAACATAATTTTAGTCTTCAGAGAACAGACTCTGGCTGATTCCATTTCTACTTCGGGATCTTCTCCCATGTCACTGAGGACGCGCCTCTCCAGACCTTGCGGCCTCCCCGTCTGTGCACTCCCGAGCCTGGGCTCCTGCCGCTGGCTCCGCGAAGCCGGCTCTTCCGTGGGGGAGGCCAGTGTGGCCGCCCGTGTTCATCAAGCCCCTGCCTTGCCACGAGAAGCGCGTGCGTCCTCCCTTAGCTTGGGGGGCGAAGCGCTCAATGTGTGTCCCTGGCCCCCCTCGGGGTGTGTGTGGCATGATGGGCTGCGTGGTGACCCAGGCGCCTCCGTCTCTGCCCTCCCCGCTCCAGCCCTGCGGGGCTCGGCAGACCAGAGCCAGCAGCCCCTGAGAAAGCAGGATCACGCAGCTGTCAGTCACCTGGGCTCGTTCCCTACCTCGCCCGCAGACCCCAGAGCGCCCAGGGCTCCTTGCCTCCTGCCAGGCCATCCGAGTTCATCTCTGCCTCCCAGGTTTGCTGTGGGCAAACCTCCTTTTCGCCCTCACCTCTCCTCCTGTCCTCAACAAGACTGAGAATTGGTTCTGACATCGCTTTTTCTCTTTCACAGGAAAAAGGTTTACGAGTGAGGATTCCATTTGCGTGCTGGGAATAAGCAAAAGAAACCTTCTTTTCCAGCCTGTGACACAGCTGAGGAAGGACACCGACTTCGAGTGAGTAGATCAGCCCTTGCGGGTCCACATGTCCCGGCCGGGAAGGTGTGCAGGACAGGGCGAAGGGACGCTGCCGCTGCTAGACTTAGGGGCATTAATCTGTCATCACAACTCAGAAAACACAAGCCTTTGAGAAACAGGGCAGCTTTCTACAAGTCTACAGAACGGGCTCATGCCACTTAGGAAAACGAGCAGATCCCGCGGAGCTGCTCCAGCCCCGACCCCGTGACGCCCATCCCCCAGGGCCAGGCTGCCCTGACAACCCCTTCCTGCCACCCGCAGGCACAGGATCCCCAAGGAGCAGTGGTGGCTGAAGCTGCGGCCGCTCATGAAGATCCTGGCCAAGTACAAGGCCAGCTACGAGGTCTCCGACTCCAACCAGCTGGAGCCCATGCACCCCCGAGGCCACGAGGAGCCCGCTGCCATCTAGACGCCGCTGGACCCGGACCCGGACCCGGACCCGCCCGCCCGGCTAGCAAGCACTGCTTTGGACTTCGTTTCCCTCCCGTTTTTGTAACACTTAAGTTATTTGTCGGCCCTCCGATGCGAGTATTGTTGACGCGAATACCTACACACAGAGCCCCCGTCCTGTGTCCTGCCTCCCCACAGGACCCTAAGACTCCAGCACGAGCTGTCTGCTGCGTCTCGTACTCCGTGTCCTGCTTCCGAGCGTGTGTAGCCAGTAGAATTAAACATCAGCTCAAACTCCAACCGTGGTGCTCTTTGTCTCTGTGGGTAGGGGTTCAAATCCTCAGGCTCTGCGGGCCGCTGTGAAGTGTTCTTTCTGCATCCGTGAACCAGGCCCGGTGCAAGGACAGAGGCTCCGCACTGATCCACAGAGCGTGACTTGGCAAGTGTGCGGAGTCGGCCCTGGACCGGGACCCCAGGACCCCAGGTGAGGTGAGCCAACTCCTCCCAACGCAATGCCAGGTGTAGAATTACAAACAGAAACTGGCAGTGTGCGATAACAGGGTGGGTGTGCACACCCGTGGTTTCCCGCATGGTGTCTGCTGGGAGGGGCCCAGCCAGGGGCCGGGGGACAGCCCGGCTCTGTCGAGGAAGGGCGCTGGCTCACCTGCGCCGGTGCTCAGCGAGCAGCGTTTCTGCCTCTTCCGTTGTCTGAGAGGTCTGAGAGCTGGAGGGCCCCTCCCAAGTCTGCTCAGGAGCCGGGGCGGCGTGGCCAAGGAGGAACCAGCACAGACTGTGCTTTCTGTGGGAGATACGTAGGGTGACAGAAGCTCCGTCCCGTAAAGCCCGTGGGAGAAGCTTAATGCACTTTTAATCCGCCAGGCCGCACATCTGTTCCAGACTGCGACCACACTGGTTTCACAAATCAAGGGACCTCGGGGGCCTTTGTTCACTTATTTTTTAATAAAGGCCTTGAGAACTACTCTAACAAAATGTCACTTAAAATAATGACTAAAGCCCAAGTAGGTCAGGTCAGAGTGGTCTTTTATTTCTAAGTTTTTGAAATAAATGCTCCAGAATTAATAAGATAAATGACATTTATGTCAATGTTATAGTCTGTGCGACTCTGGCATTTAATACATGATTATTTCAAGTTCTTCGTGGTCGTCTCTTCCGAGACAGAGCAGCTTGGGCTGACCGGCCACATAAGAACCAGGTATGAGCAAAATGTGGGGCAAACAGTAACGTTTCTCTCCTTTCAAACGAAATCAGCTCAGGCTTCGTGCTGAGGAGCCCCACAGGCTGCAGGTTCATCTGAGCAGTCAGACCTACTCGCCGGTCACCCACGACAGGTCCTTAGCGATTTCTGTGTTGTCTGGTCCCAGCAGAGCCAACCCGTGTGTGCTCTTCCCAGTGTCAAGGTACCTGGAAAGCAGGCAGGGATCCGTCAGGGCTGCTTCCCGCAGGAAGAGCCTGGGGTGGCCGTGGGAGGGCTCTCGACACCCAGCCCCGGGTACGTACTTGTTGCTCACATTGATGAGATCCTCATGGCGGACGGCGAAGAGCTGCTCCCGGTGCACCTGCTTCATCTCATCCGAGAGGCCGCACAGGAAGTGGTCCAGCCCTGACCATGAGCACAGTAACTCAGGGCAGCGGCCCGGGGCACAGACCCTGTTCTAAGGGCACTCGCGGGACATACTTCCATTGGAGGTCACACTGTTGACCTCCACATGCCCACCAAGCCTCTCCCCTCGGGGTGGAGGCCAAGTCCGAGGGCCTCGGATGGCTCAAGCTCTGGGATGACAGGATGCCACCCTCTGCAAGTGGCCAACACAAAGAAGCTGCAGCTCTAGGGGGACGTCTGCGCACCACAGGGGCGGATGGGCGAGGGGAACCATGGCGACACCTCTTATCGGGAGCTCCATGTGGTTTACTGCACATACCTCTGTCCGAAGGAGCCACGGGGGCGTCCACGGTGGAGAAAACGGAAAGCTTTGCTTCGTCAATGTCTTGCTCTGTGAACCTCCCAGCCTTAGCCCAGTCCATAGCCTTCGAGAAAGACTGCAGCGTCTCTGCGGAACGTGGATCCCTAGGAGACCGAAGAGACACATGCTGGCCTGCTCCACCACCAGATCATCAAACACCCCTTTCTGATGTTGTGGAGAGAGATCAGGTGCACAGGGAAGACGACTCACGTACACACTTCCTTAAGACACACCCGGGACAAACGCCCCACACTCCCCACAAAGGGGCCAGAGAGATCGGACGCTCTTGCTCCCGGCTCTGTGTGCAGCAGCCCACATCCGGGCAGCAGACACCGAGGGGGTCACGGCGGCACTGCTGTCCTCCGCAAGCGCAGCTCCCGCGGGCGTGCACGCGTCCTCCAAGTGTCTTGGCACGCGGCGAGGCGGGGGCAGGGAGAGACTGCATCAGGGGCAGCAAACTCGTCCTGCCCGCAGGGTATTCTGAATTCCTGAATTCCCTACGTCCTCGGAAACTTTCTAACCAAGAGGGGAGAGAAGAGTCAGGGGCCGTGACCACAAAGCACCCAGCACCCACGCCGGGCCTTGTGCTGGACGCGAGCCCAGAAAGCTCTCGACTTGTCGCCTCTAACTCAGTCTGGGTGTTGGGTAACAGGCGTATATAATTAAGCCAAAGTTTCCCATTCGGCACCGCCGCTCCTGGCCATGGACAACCGAGGACGCTGCTGGGTGTGCTGATGCGCCGAAGAAGCGAGAAACAAGGGCAAACTCTTCTTCAGAGGCTGGTCCCCATGCGTCAGACAGCGGCCTGTGGTGCTTAGCGGAGCTGGGAGACGTGCGCTCGCACTCACCGGTACGAGTACAGTGTGAACACCCCGTCGCGGCTGAGTCTGGCGCCGCCACCATAAGCACCGCCCTTCTCTCGGATTTCTGTGTGCAGGAATTTGGCAGTCATCACTCGTGCAAGGATCTTAAGGCTGAAATGAATAATTAAAAAACACAAGTTAAAAACCGTAGGCCCGGCAGGGAAGTGCCCCATGTGATGGACTCGTATTCGCTGTCCTGGATTAGGTGAAAACAAGATACAGCACGGAACACTACAGTCTCCCCTTTCCTGATGGAGGAGGACAACTACAAGGAGGAAAACGTGAGATGAATTTTCAAACCAGGGCTGCGGGAGAGGTGGTGAGGGACAGAAGGTCCCTCAGACAAGTCCAGCTCCCCCCGGCCACAGCACACAGGGACACTGACAGTCTGACCGAGGGAACATGTTACAAATTTACCGCGCAGGCAAACGTGCAAACCATCCCTTCTCCAAGTCCCCCGCTGGTGTGCGCGCGTCTCTCAAACCCAAACTCTCAGATTTCCGTAGGTACCCTCCCTGAGAACACACTGCGACAGACTGAGCTGAGTCCTACACTCACAACAGAAGTGCAGTTCTAGCAGATGCCACGGAAGAGAAACGGAATGTTCTACCAAGTACATTCACAGGACAGGAAGCGGGGTCCTACTGGCCCCCCACTGACTGGTCTAAGTCCAGACGCTAACTAGAGAAGCAAACAGGTGTCCCTGGAAGATGGGGGAGGGGGAGGGGGAGGCACTCATAGCATGGGTTTGCACTGCCAGACCTCTGCGGACAGGCTCCCCCTCGCCAGCAGGGCCTGGGAGGCTTACCCGCCCCGGTTGTGAACATTCTGTACTACACAAGGAATATAAGGTCATTGCTGGAAAATTATAAAATACAAAGAAAGGGGGGAAAGAAATCGATACTACCCAGGGTACTTCTCATAACCTGTTTGTGCTTTAACTCTGTTTAATACAGTACATATCTCTGGTCTGTGGGGCTCAGTGTAGAGAACACGTTTGTTTCCCAGAAACATGGAAAGAAACTGGCCACACAGCTGGACGCCATCCCATGATTCTACTTCCCTCCTGGAAACACACTTCCCTTTGAACTCAGCACCAGCCTTGCGTGCCGGGGCCCTGTGTACGTACCAGCCACCTCTGCCCTCCCCTGGCCCTGTACCTGGCGTGGTCTGGGTCTGCATAGGGGGCAGTCCTGATGCATTCGCCCACGTAGTTCACTGGGAACGGGAGCAGGAAGTGCGTCTTCATCTGGCACGGCTTGAAGGTGGGATCCTGAGGACGACAGGCAGGCCGTGTTGGCTCCCTCCGCCACCCCTGCCATGTGCTCACGGCTAAGGGCAAGGCACTGGCAATCATGTCGGTCAGGTCGGTCCACATAAGCGGTTGCTTTACCAAAAAACACTCCAAAACCCTAACTCAGGGCTTCGAAATGTAGTTCCTCAATTAGAAAGATTTCCTCCTACATGGTTTCCATCCATAAGTGACCTCACCTTTGCGTTTTTCCCCAGAAATATGTTAAATCAACACTGTCTGATGAACCAAACCAAAAACCGTCACCATTAAAGCCAAGCAGGGAGAAGGGCACAGGATGCCCTGATGACGGTGACCCCGCCAACGCGGCAGCCTCCCGTGCCTGAGTAAAGGCGGACAGGGCGAGGATGACACAGGCAACACAAGGGCCCCAGAGAGGCCCAGGGCCTGCTGCACCCCTGCAGGGGAGAAGCCCCCGTGGCACCGGCCACCCCATCCCAGACAGGGCAAGGATGGGAAGCTGCTCTTCCTAAGGGGACAGGGGCTGTGTCCACTCACTGTGATCAGCTTCCGTATGACCTGGGGGCCGCTAACGTGGGCGCTCCCACTGGATCCACTGGGTGCAGGTTTCTGAAAATAAAACATTCCCGAGAGAGATGAGAAAAATCCCAAATACACCTTACACAGCTAAGGAATGGTCTAGAAAACTCACGGCCAAAGACAAGTGCTGGGGCATACGCGCTTGCGTGTTTCCAGCAACCCTGTTTGAAATAAGTGGGATTTCTGTGTGGATTGGCAGATGGGCAGGGAGAAGCAGCAGCAGGCCACCTCGCCAGGGCGCTGCTCACCGGGAAGACGGGCCTGGTCTGCCCGTCGGGGTCACAGGCACATGAACATCGTGAAGAGAGCAGGAATGGTCTCTGCCCCATCTATGGACTGCCCACCTTCTCCATGAGAATGTTCTGGCCTGTTCTGGTGAGGTCCATGAAACCCACTCTGTAGGGTCACGGAACCAGGCAGCGTGTACTAGGTGCAACCTACAGAACGGCTGTGTACTGGGGCGTTCCGGTCCCGGCTTTCCTGGGTCAGTTTTGGCCTGCTCTCATGCTAGCACAGTGGATCTCAAACCGGCCTTTCCTCCCCGGCAAGAGAGTGTCCAGTGCCAAGGTTGCAGTGACGACAAGGGAAACGGGATGGAAGGGT